CATTACCGACTTCCTGGTGGCCTGCACTTTATAATCGTTTATACGTCCGTGCCAACATCTGTCTTCGAGACCCCCATCTATGCATACATAAACACACACATACGTATTTCCCCAAAGGCTTGATAACAGCGAGTTATGAAAACGGCCCCATGCGCACTCGCTCTGAAGGGAAGAGAGTGGAGGCGCGAGTCGAGCCCTGCCAACAGTGTCCGCTCCATCAATCCGGCGCAGGCACGCGTTTGCCAGTGATCCGTTCCATGAGATATGTAGTCGGGATGTGGGATTTCTTTTCATTTTTTTTCTCTCTTTTTTTTATGAAAGGCTCTTTACCCAGAAGGAATGGATTTGCAGGCCTGCTTTGATCCCTCCTTTATGATTCTTTTATTTGTTTTAGCCACATCCCCTCTCTAAGCCGCACTTGGTGAAATGTGCTTTGAATTAGGAGTTGGGGGAAGCAGGGCGTGCAGGATTCTCACTCCGCCGCAGGAGGCAATGTGGTGGGCCGGGGTGCAACTGATCACCACGCTACACTGGTAAACCATATATATACTGTATATATGAGGGCAACCGTGGCCTGATGGTTAGAAAGTGAGACTGGTAAGCCGAAGTTTGCGGGTTCGAGTCTCAACACTGGCAGGAAATGACTGAGGTGAGCAAGGCACCTAACCCGGGCGCTACTGCTCACTGCTTCGGGTGTGTGTGTTCACGGTTTGCAATGTGTGTGTTCACTAATCACTATATGTGTGCATTAACTTGGATGGGTTAAATTCAGATGACAATTTCCGAGTATGGCCAACCATACTTGGCCTTCACATGTCACTTTCACCTATATATACAGTTCTTGGCAAAAGTCTTAGGCACATTAGTATTTTTATTTCTATATTTTACAGTAGTGTGTCAGTGGGATATATTAGTTTACATTCCCAAACATTCATTTCGCCATTAATTGTAATAACCCAGTGAGATTTTTATATTAACAAGGAGTCTGACAACAGCCGCTATGATCCACACGGAGATCTGATCTCACCATCATCGAGTCTGACTGGGATTAGATGAAGAAACAGAAAAAACTGAGACAGACAATATCCAGAAGAACTACAGTAACGTCTCCATGCTTGAAGAAACCTTCCTGCAAAGCTGGTGTATGTGTACCTAGGACAAAAGCTGTTTTAAACGCAAAGGGTGGTCACACCAAATATTGATTTGATTTAGTTAATAGAAGGTAATTGATAAATAAAATCTATTTATGACTCTTTTTTTTAAAGCATCCTCACTTTTTACACAAGTGCCTAAAACTTTTCAATGTACAGTAGCTTTGCGGGAAGGTTTCTTCAAGCGTCTTTATATATGTATAGATTCCATTATACTAAAGATACTTCGTGGTTGAAAAAGGTTCTTCAGATTATTAAAAATGTTATTCTCACGTATAAAAAAATGGTTCTTTTAAACTGTTCACTGAAACAGGGTAACCAAAAATGGTTCTTCTATAGCATCGCAGTGAAAACCCACTTTTGGAACCTTTATTTTAAAGAGTGAACATGGTGCAGACTGTCATACAACTATGTCTGAACCGATAATAGCTTCATTATTCATTTGATTTACAGTGTTTGGTGATCACGGATCTGTCCTCTGTTCAATAAAACAGTTTTGACCAACCGACAGTATGCACACGCCAGGACGTACTTGGATAAATTCAGATTTTGGTTTATTAAACCACATTAAACAGAAATAAAAACTTAATAAATTGTTTTTTTTTAACACTCTTCCTTTTTAAGGAAAGTTCAAAAGGAACACGTTTCAGGTTTGTTGTGAGTGAAGGAGCACTTGAGCCATCCCGCTAGATCTGGGGGCGTACATAAGAACACTTCATTAAAAAAAACCCTAGCTTGTTCAGTTCATGCCCCTGTTTGACACGTGTCAGGCCTGTTTGTGATCGGTCCCATCTTAGGAAGTGGTTTGCCATCACAGAGAGCAGCGTGTATGCCTGTGCATATGTGAAAATTGCCCTGTAAACAAAATCATTTCTCAGCGGAAGTGAGCCTCTGGTGGATACTGTACAGACTAAAGAAGTAAATAAACAAATTGCATGTATACACAGGCCGAGAAAATAAACCTTGTAGAAGAAACGCACCGCATCACAACATCTGCCCTTTGTCTCCGGCTGGCGTCCAGACCGTTGGAGAAGGGTAAATGTGAGCATGTTGCGTCTGGGAGCGAGCCAAAGCCTCGATCGCTCGTCTTCGGTTTCCATCAGGAGAGCTATGAAGTCAGAAAAAGACTAAATGCCATGAGATGATGCTTTTATCATGGCCTGCTGAGCGTCCAGGCTTTGATGAAGCTGTGCTTTATGACACTGTCAGTATGTCACAATCTCCAGTGACTAAAATGGAAGAGTTTTAAAACTGCTGTCCCGCTGGAGGTAAAGCACTTCAGTGCTTTTTGCAGGGCGTAAATAAAAGCTTAAGTAGGTACTATTATCCCGAGTGGCACAGACATTGCGGTTCTACGCTCAGAGGTACATAAGCAGCGACGTCAGCTCAATAAAGCCAAAGTATGGCAAGTTCAAATAGTATAATTGAATTTTACAATACCATGCATCTAAATGAAATGCATTTTTATTTTTTCCTGATCATTTCACCAGGTAACTGTAAACAAGTCAACTATAACCTTAACCATCTACATCCTGAAACATTCTATTTGAAGAACAGCCGCAATTGTTCCATTAAGGTCAAATGACGAGCTCTTAAAATGGAATGTCTGTGTAAATTCTGAGATAATTTAAAACTTAACAAATTCTAGTCAACTTCAGAGCAGAGCGGCCTATTCTTGGCTTCAAAACCCTAAAATGAGCTATTATCACCATACAATTCACTACTGTTGATAAGATTATTTATTGTTTTTGAAAGAAGTCTCTTATGCTCACCAAAGCTACATTTATTTGATCAAAAATGCAGTAAAACAGATATATTATTTACAATTTATTTGAATATATTTCAAAAAGTCATTTATTCCTGTGATGCAAAGCTGAATTTTCAGCATCATTACTCAGTCTTCAGTGTCACATGATCCTTCAAGAAACATTTCTTCTTTTTCTTCTTCAGTTGTGCCGCTTAATATTTTTGGTGGAAACCTTGATATATTTTTTTCAGGAATCTTTGATTCAAGAGAACAGCATTTATTTGTAATATAAATCATTTTGTAACATTATAAATGTTTTGAGTGTCCCTTTTTTTCCAATTTAATGCATCATTGTTGAATAAAAGTATTAATTTCTTTAAAATATATCTGACTTTTGGGGGATTTTTAAAACATTAAAACGTCTCTTTAGGATGAATCACTTCTGCATTCAAGTAGCTGATAAATGAATGTAAATATATTTTAAAAATGTTAAAAATTATTACATAAAAAATAAAAATAGTATACTTTACAAATTATTGTTTGTTATATTATAATAATCGTTTTGACCGATTGACTAAATTAACTTTTTAACTTTTGTAAATAATATTATTTTGTTTTTAGATAGGGTACAGTATATGCTGTACACAAAAAAAAAAAAAAAAAAAAACCCACTTCCACCAAACAAACGGATGATGTACAGTATGAACTTCCCTACAGCTTGTCTGTATAAATCACACTGGGATCCACTCTACTCCATTAGCTCTCTGGCACAGAGCTGTCCATTTAGCCTTTGTATATCAGAATAAATCCATTCTGAACTAATGAATGAAAGCCGGTTGGAAATGGTCTGTAAAAGTACTTGAGCACCATAAGCAGGTGCAGCGCATGCCGAGGAGGAGTAAGACGGGATGATTACTGCTGTCTGCCATCAGGATGCTCTCCGAGAGAGAGAGACGGTGCAGAACCAGACCTGAGCCTACATGTGGTACGCATTTGACACTATAAACACACACACGAGCTCTCTGGCAAACCTCCCATCCATCAAACACCGAGAGAAGAATAACAGTGTGGAGTGGCCTGTTGCATGCAAAGCACACCCCACCTCCACCCCGGCCCTCTTCCTCGCCGACTCGCTTTTATCAAAGCAACATGCCGCCCGTTCGCGGAGGATGTGGAAGTGCGCTGCGATAAATAACACAGCATCAGGGGTTGAAATGTTTATGCACAGAGTTTGGCTAGTTTAGCTGGGCCAATCCACAGCTAACGCTTCACCATACTGTCAAAAAATAAATGAAAAATACACACATGTTAGGTTTTCATGTTTTATGGGAACGTTCCATATAGACAAGGATTTTTATACTGTACAAAACTGTATATTCTATCCCTTAACCCTAAACCTAGCCATCACAGAAAACTTTCTGCATTCACACATTACTTAGGATGATTTGTAAGATGTTTTCATCATGGGGACCAAAAAAATGTCCCCAACAAGGACAAGGATTTGGGACATTGCCATCTTTTGTCTCCATAACGTATGGGTCCTCATCACGCTGCATGATTCATTCGGCATCTAGTTATTATCTCAGAAATACATTTTTTATCCTTTTGTTCATTTATTCTTGGCAGTCTGATCAAATGACCAGTATTCATTCATCTGACTGGAAATGGATGGTCAGGTCAGGCACAGTGTATCGTGGGATACAGAAGGTTAAAAATAAATATAAAATAAATGAATACATTTAAATAAAAAATACATATTATAAACATTTGCAAGATACCTCTATTAAGTTGACATTGTATCTTTTTTCCTTCCCCACCAGTGTTATTTGATATTGAGATACTAATATAGTTTTTCTTAATATTTTGACTTAGTTTTTATTTTTACATTTTCCATTTTCATTTTAGTTAGTTCAGTAATTTTGTTTTGCTTTTGTCATTTTCAATTTTATTTAAAAAAAAAATATCTGTATAGCTTTTATTAATTATTATTTCAGTTGTAGTTATTTTAAGGATATCAAGTTAAACTAAATCAAAATGAGAAATGATTCATTGGCAGAAATAATAAAATAGGTGTTTTTTAAATAGTTTTAGTTTTTTATAATTATGAAGGACCATTTGAATACTGTTTAGATGTATAAAACTAAAAAGAAATTGACAATAGAATGAAAATGTTTTGTGATTAATCTACGATGTTCGACCAATCCGTCCAGAGCAGAGTGAAACCATAATAATATAAAATATGTAGATTTTGACATGTTCCTTTACCCTTGCAGAGCCCATTTTGAGACACAGTACCTCAGTTTATGTTCTCTTCTGTATATGAGTTAATGTTGGTCTGTCCACTGAATGACTCTCCGCTCTCATTATACCCCATAAAACAGTTCTGCAAATACACAAAAACACATAAAGTCAAGCTTGAGTGGATACAACTTTATAAAATGTCTGCATGATGTGAGCTGGTTGGACTTGCTCCTGATCATCAGCTTGATTTAGTGATGAACGAAAAGTCAGATGCTGTTTCGCCACGTCAAGGGACGTCCATCGTGCGAATGAGATCACAGGCCTGGGGAACACGCACAGTCCAGGCCAGTGACCAGCTGTTTCTCCAGTTCCTGAAGAACTGTCCTTCGCTTCCTGCTGCAGCCTGTAATGCAGCGAGCAGACGGTACACAGCTTTAGCAAGGCTGAGTTAAAAGCAAGCAAACAAACACATCTAATATCACATCCTCTTGAGGGGTAATCAGAGGAAGTTCTGTCATTTGCTGTGCGCTGCTGACATCCTCCTGGCACTCAGTGACAAATTCATGGTCTAAAACAATTACTGTTGTTGAGCACTATTTTCAGTACTGTCATGTACAATTATTTTTTACTTGCTGCCATAGACAAGAGATGAAGATCTGGAATCTGAGGGTGCAAAAAAAAATCGAAATATTGAGAAAGTGGTCCAAATGAAGTCCTCGATGTTGCTGCATCAACTCACAAAAATAAATTTGATATTTTTACGGTAGGAAATTTATAGAATATCTTCATGGAACAATGATTTTTGGCATAAAATAAAAATCTAAATATTGACCCAATGTTGGCTATTGCCACAAATATACCCGTGCGACTTGTGAATGGTTTTGTGGTCCAGGGTCACACATATACATGTATACATAAAATAAATACAAATATTATTTCAAATTTTAATAATATAATTCATATAAAAAATTGCATATTTTGGATTCAAAGAAAAGAAGGGAATGCTGGTTTTAAGATTCATGATAGTGGTTAGATGATGACAGAATCTTCAGCTAAGTAAATGATTTGCAGAAGGCACAACTCAGCTGAACTGGCCATAATATTACAACTTATTGCAATTATTGCAAGGATAAAAATAGTTTTTGGAAGTTGCATTCAAAATCCACTTTGAATGTTTGAATTGGGATGACTCCAATGAATGTGAATGAGTTAGAGGTCATTTTTGGGCCATCTTGACACCTGACAGCTTTTATTTTTATTTCCTGAAGGTTTATGGAGTTTATGCTCATTGCCAATAAAATATGAGCCAGAAGACGACAAACAAAATCAGCTCAGTAAACTGAGGATGCTGCCCTCTTGATGAGTAAATTACAGAGGATGTGGATACTAATGAGCGTATGAGTTTTTGACAAAAGGGAGGCGTGTATCAGGGATGAAACATTGGAGGTTTGGAGCAACCGAGTCATAAAAAAGTGGTTATTTGTGTCTCCATGTACAATTGCCTAGGGCATACGACGTGATACACATCCACAACCAATCAGGGTGAGTCGGCTCTTCATTAATCATACGTTACGGAGTTTCCCTCGCCACTTAGGGCTCTTCTAAAGAGCCAAGCATGCTTGTCAAAAGTCTGCTGTGATTTTAAGAGTACATTTACAGTCCAGTGTTTAACTTGAGGAAAGTTAGGCAGTACAGCACGTGCCTAACTAAAGCCAACCCAAAGCTTTGGTTGAAGACTGAATGCGCCCATTTCTACAGGAAGCATTCTTGTCGAATGAGCTTGGAACGCAGGGTCTGTCTCAGAGGAGAGTCATTGTGAAGGATGACATCTGAGATTATAAATCAACAAGCCTCGCCGTGACTTCAGAAACCGTCCGAAACCACAAGAGCAATATACTTCACGATGGAATTCACCAAGGACCGGATCCTCACTCCACTGTCACGCAATGCTGACGAGATCCAGCGAGAGATTGCGAGCTTTCTTAACACACCTCAGAGTACCCAGCAATCATTGCTCCAAATAAACATTCCATGTGGAAATTCATGCAACTATTACATTCAATCATCACCGGCTCTGCACTTCGTATTTTAGCACAACCACCCAAGATAAATATACCCTGCACTGTTTCAAAACAGGAATGTCAGGTATCTCTTGATTAAACTGGACGCAGTTAGCCAAAAAACTGAACATACTATTTGGGTGTCAGGTTAAGGTAGCATCAAGAACACACCTGTCTCTCCAACTTAATGTCAGAAAAAAAACCAAGTAGACAGGAAATGCATGTTCCTGACAGGAACCTAAAGAGAAGAGGCAGTCAGAGCCCTTTAGAGATCAAGCTGAGGTAAAGGAGCACAGCTAACCGGGCCTCCGCTCCACTCGGGGAGTATCAGGTTCTGCCACATGGGTCAGCTAAGTCGAGTTGTGTGTACCTTCCTATTCATGTGCTGACTCTTCACATTATAGCCTCGTCACGGCCATCGATCCAATCCACCTGGGCTTCCTTACAGGCTCCTGGGTCTCAGGTTGAATCCATTTGCATCTTTGCAAAGAGCGCTAGGCGAGTGCATTGGCTGAAAAGGCAAGCAAGCATGAGATACATTGCATTTGGGTTAAAAGCAGTCCAAAACCCACATTCAAATTGACATGATTTTTTTTGACCGCTACTGTTAAATCGTAAGTGCCAAATCAAAAGAAATAATGTTTTTATGAATTTGTATTTGCAATCTGCATTAAATGCTGTGCAATAGAGTGCTGCGGGAATGATGAAGGCAATTTTTTTATGTCCAATTTAAACCCGGAAACGAGTTGCATTTTAGCACTTCCGGTTCCATCGTCCTGAAGTCATTGGGTCTCATTTTTTTGGGTCTCATATACGAGTAAATATGCGAGTGATTTGCGCGTAAAGAGACCTCCCCGAAAACTCTTCTCCTGATTCACAAATACTTCGTAAACGTCAGATGTGATAGTGAAATGTGTGTGTGTGTGTGTTAATGAATTCCAATCAGTCGTAAATGGGATGCGCGTGCACGTTCATTCTCAATTACCATAAATCCCGCCCATTAAATCCGACTGACAACTATATATGGACATCATATTATGACATGAATGCGAATGAAAAAAAAAAAATTCTCAGATGCAGAAATTGAAGTTTTATAATCAGAAGTTCATTCAAAACGCCACATTTTATTTTCAAGCGTAGCCTACATAGTGACGTATCGGGTCCTAAAAAAAAGGAAGCTTGGCAGCATATTACAGATGCAGTTAATGGAGTTTCATCTGTTAATCGAACATTCCCAGAAGTGAGAAGAAAATGGTTCGACATTAAGCTTGAGAGCAAAAAACGAATTAGTTCACTTCGGAAAAATAGTATTCAAACAAGGACCACCATCGCAGATGCTATTACTGGCTCTCATAATAAGAAAAACCGTATGTAATTACTATATATAATATTTTTTCAAAATGCTGTGTAAATATGTAGGCCTACCCGATTAAGGTGAATTAAAATGCAGCCTTATTAATGAGCAAAACGTTCGGGTGTTAAGCGCACTATTTACGCGTGGCTGGGAGCAGGTGTAGATTTCTTATGTACCAACTAACATTTTGGAAAATACGAACATTTTAATGAATCCGAAATTTTACGCCAGAACCACTTTACACACGATTTACACAAAAATTCGTTCTGCTCGTGTTTCATGAATGAGACCCATTGTGTTTTTTTGAATGGCTGTTTGGTTAAATGCCTGAAATAAGGTCTGGTGAACACAAGCTCAAGATCTTTTCACATTTTTATTCTAGGATATAGACCTTATGTAGCCCCGCCCCTTTTCAGCGCTGCGCTCGTTGTCTTTTGACTTCCGGTCTGTATTTTCACAGCGATCTTGCATAGGTATAAATGAACGGCTTGTAAAAAAATTCCCGGTCGACATTTGTTAAGACATCTGCTTTACAATGCTTATGATAAACATTACAATGCTAATGATAACTTTCGTTAACTCTACAATAAGTAAATCCACTTCAGCTAATTACTCCTCGACAGAGATGCCATAGAAATATACAGAGTGACCGCAAAAACGGAAGTTCAAAGACAATATTCTAAAGATGACGGCGCGCTTGTTTCTCAGGTCTATAAGGTACATGCGTAATAACTCCTTGGCTTTTACTTGTCTTGTGTGTTTATGCAGTATACCTTTATTCAAAACAATGTGAGATTGAGTTGAGCATCTCTCGACGCTGAAGAAGAAACGTGAGAGGCTTTGGTGGGAAGGAACAAAGACAGCCAAAATCATCCTCCACCAGGACTGATCCTCTAAACATCTCTTTTCCTTCTTATTGGAGATCTGGGAAGCTCGTCTGTGCCGTCTTATCAGGGGAGGAAATGGTTGATTTGATGTGGCGTTGGGCCGTGGGCTTGGATCCTTTCCCACCCTCTGTCAGAAGGGTCGTACTAGTAGGAAGTGCCGAGGGAATCGCTGCAGGGCCTCCATCCAAATGAGACACCCCATATCCTCCTACGCTGTTCACGGTTCCACTTCAGGGTCACTTGATCCGAATCGCAGAAAGCGACACAGTCTGCGAATGTGCTCAGAGTTACGTAATAGCATGATTCAGGAGTATATGTGGTGGATTTGGATTTGGTGGTAGGGGGTTTCGTGACACACGATGATGCAATCCCGTGACTCTACCCGTTCTTGCTGTGAACCGGCATGCATGGCGTTCACAGGCCGCTTTCCACTGCCTGCATGTTTAAGTCTGGGATTCCAGGCTGTAGGAAAACACATTTTACTGCATTCCCATAGTGGTTGTGGAATTGTTATTGTCCTCTTCTTTTCCAGGGTTCCTGCTGATGCTGTTGTCTGATGGCGGTTTGTCAGCCGAGTGACAATTCCTGCTTAATTTCAAGAGGAAGCCCGAATGCCCTCAAACATGTCTGCTGATAGCTTTGTTCCTTGGCCAAGAGCAAACGGTTCAGCTCAGCTGTGGAGCTGCTCCCCAGAGCCAAAGCTTCACAGAAGCAATTAACCATGGGTAGTTTGGCTTAATGAATACTATCAATTACAAAGCCTCTGTACTTAAAGAGCTGGAAAAACTCTGGGACTGTGTGGTATTTCGCATGAGGGAAAACGTAAAACATTCTGCGAGATTATTTTGAGCAGTTTTGTGTGGTTTAAGAAAGATTAATGTTTAGTAATAAAACAACAATCTACAGCTAATGTGCATGATCTCTAAATCGAACTAGGTTAATGAACACAAACCCAATGCTAAAAGGCTGTTGACCTGCAATATGAGTTGGCAAATGCTCTTGCAAGATCTCAAAGATGTTACTTGTTTGTTTAGATTGCTTTTTTTAGTTTCAGATCTGTACACTTTCAGGAGGCAAGAGCTGAGAGTCTGGAACATTCATTCCGCTGCCGCAATTCACAACTGCCGGTGCTGCTGGAAATAAGTCAAATTAAGAGGCATTAAGCAATTTTGGTTTCCTAATTAACACAGATTTATTGGTAAATTTTCTCCATTCAATATTTCCTGTCTTAAACCAAGCCACAGATTTAAGCGTCGCCTTCCTTTACTGTCTGAGATCTGACACGCAAACGGCTGTTTGAGAGGAGAACTGAACCGGAAATACTATTGTAATTGATTTTGCATGTGTATGACACAGAAATGAAAAATTACCAATATTTATTTAATCGCTACCCTTCCTGTTATATTGACCTGACACAAAACAAGCAAAAATAGTGTTGTACTTGGACTGCATATCAAGTGTTTAATTTCTAGAATTCTAGGAATTTTTTTATTATTTTTTTTGGCAGGAACAGCACATCTTTAATAATACCCGATCTAAATCACATGCAAACTGGGAAAAAAAAAATCTTTCTTTTTTTTAATGTGAACTATCCAGCAGGATGAGGAGGGGGGAAAAACTGAACAACAAAAAGATCGAGCTAGTCAAAGGTATGAGATCACTGTTCCAAAAAAACAATGTGCTGCAATTATAGAAGGAAAATAAAATACGAACGCAAGTGCAAATTACTCTGATAGAAGGTGAGATACGAGATGAAAATGAACTAAACAACATGCAGCTGTTCCTCAATTTTAACAAATCGAAAAAAAGTTATTTTTTTACAGACACAAGCACACATGCACTTTTATAAGCCTATATAAAATCTTAAGCTGTAGTTAATTGCATTTCCGTTAAAACCAAAATTAAATGCATGAGGAAATTGTCTCATTGTTTCATTGAAAACTTTTTCAATGAAAATTTTTTTTTTTTTCCAATACATTTATAAGACAAGAATGCAGTTAGTGGCATCATAAAACAATTGATAAACTACAACTACAGCTGGTTTATGGAAAACCAATTAAATACAACAGAGGAAAAATTAATGAAACGTTGCTTTATCTTTCAACAATAGTCAAAATATCAGACAGAATCAGAATCACTCTTCTGGGAATCTGAATGCTGCTAATGTACAAAACTTACAAACCAAAAATATAAATGTTTGTTATATCAGAAAAGAAACCTACATTTTGAAATGTTGAATGCAGAAGAGTGCAGAGGTATTGATAAAGACAAAAAAGAAACCCTGATGACCCATAAAATGCCAAAATGTATGGTTAAATGCATACTGCACATACATGCATGCATACATAACAATGCCCAAGAGAAAATGCTTGTTATAAATTATTTTTGGTCCCTGTGGAGAGAAAGAAGGCATGTGAGGCTTCACATGAAGATAGTGCCATCTAGAGCACTGAGTCAATATACACCCATTAAACTGAGACTACACTGTAAGACATTTCATGTTAGTTTAACTTGGAAATGCAAGTTCACCTGCTGCCTTGAAAATCAAAGTTCACTCAACTTGAAGACTGCCTTTGTTTCAACTTGATTTAATGAGCTAATTAAGTGATTCATTGAGTGATGATTGATCATTATTGAGGACACCTGATGTTAACAAGCAGAATCACTGAAGGAGAAAATAACTTTTTAAGTCACCATTATGGAGATCAGTGTTAGCTTTAGTTGGGCTCTTGACCCTTACATTTATGACTTTAGATTTATTTGGCTGCTGAAACTGAGTGGTGAACAGCCAGATAAACAAAGAGAAAAGGTGATCTGATGGTATTGGTTGTGTTTTAACATAATCATCACTTGACCTGAAACAAAGGCAGTATTCAAGTTGAGTGAACTTCGATTTTCAAGGCAGCAGCTGAACTTGCATTTCTAAGTTAAACTAACATGAAATGTCTTATAGTGTACTACTGCCATAACAAAGAGCAGAGATCATGTCTTGGACAAAGTTAAATGCACAAACCATCATCATACAGTGCAATATAGTCTTGACTGAATAATAAAGTCTTGATTTAACATCCCAATACACCATATAGTACTACAGATTGTTTATAATAGATATTACTTGGTTTTATTGCGTGAAAGAGATGCCACTTGACCAAAACGGCATTGCAAAATAAGGTGGATAAAGGTCACTTGTTGCTGGGATGCAGCTTGGCCATGAGTACGGAGCCCTTAAAGGGACATGGTGTTGGAAAGAAATATGAGATGGGAGGAAAAATAATGCTTTTGCTTTCTCTCGAAACTTTTCACAAAACTTTTGTGTTCTTTGCAAGCGAAGGCAAAGGTTCTTGGAACACCAAACATTTGTAAGAGAACACAAAATAATTTTTTTTTTTTTTACCTTCACCGTGTCCCCTTAGGGGCTCCGTACATGAGTGCCTTGGTTGTCATGTATTGTCATGTATATACCACTGAATTATTAAATAACCACATGCCTTTCTCCTTACCTTTGTTTTCTGTTTACAGAGCCTGTGACTATGTTGTCACTTGCTAATGTTACAAAAACCATGTTCCCGTTCGCCAACTCAGAGTCAGACAGCTACCTTCTAACAATCAGTATCCTTAGAAACGCTTTGAGCATCACAGAACGTAAATGTACCCGATTTTTCATATCAACAGTAAAAGATAACCTGGCTTCTCTTGAGACTCCCCAGCTTCACAGCATAGTTTATGATATGCTAAAGCCAACACGATCTCATGAAAGTGCGTATCTATAGCACGAATTTTATTTCTCGTGCCATTTATACGCCAAAAATATTTTTTGCGTGCAAATATACGCACTGTAAACCCCTTGGGTAGGATTAGGGGTGTGGAGTGCATGTGTATTACACGCCATAAAGTGCGTATCATATGCACGCGTACACTGCGTATCATATGCACGCAAAAAATATTTTTGGCATATAAATGGTACGAAAAAATTATATTCGTGCTATAGATACGCACTTTCATGAGATCGGGCTGGTTAAAACTCGCCTGCACATTGACGCGATCGGTTACATGGTAGTTTGTGACGTAAGAAACACTGGCGATTTCAAACCGCGTTTTTTAGACTGTCTTTGGTAAACTGCAGTTTTAAGGAGAAAATACTTAATACTCAATAATTTGCACATGGTTTGTCTTAAAGCATATTAAAAACACCACATAGACATATAAACAACATTAAAAGCTTGATTTTCACCACAGGGTGTCTTTAAGGCCAACATGTATTAGGTTATATTATAAAGTGTACTTACATATTTATTTTGGATGGCCGAAGTCCAATTGAATCTGTATTTTTTTTAACACATGCTTCCCGCCCCAGTTCAAATCAAGGAGATTTTATTGAACATCCTATCCCTGACTTGGGAAATGGCCAATCACAGATGAGAATTTTGGGATGACTTTAGGGATTCAGGGCCCACCCATCTGAACATGCATCCTGCTCTTAGAGTTTTGGGGTTTCTAAGTGGCCTCTTTCCAGATCCGCTGTTGAAAACAATCGGAGAAAGATGACAGTCACTCAAGATCTGCTGTTGACATATTGACATTAAACAGGGAGCTTTGAAAAATCAAGTGTTCGATGGCAGCATAACAGCAAAAATGCACAGAGGGAAGATTATTACAGGGTACTCGCGGACGAGAGTGCACTTAGTAGTCTGTGAACCCACCTTTCCCCCATTGGGCAGACGCAGATAAAGGGACTGCAGTTCTATGAGTCCACTGGTGATTCATTGGCAGAGTCCAGGCTTTCCCATGCTTTGCTTTCCACTGTTTGTGGTTTTCAGCAAGATGTGGTTTTAATGTCACAGCACACTAAAGTTATAGTCTGACAAGGAAAAAAGGCAGTTGTACCCAGAGAGTGATCCTGATGGATGAAGCTTGGGAAATCTGCGATATGGTTGAAAACCTTAGTGGAATCAGAGCACATCAGAGGCCATTATATGATAGTTCAATATGATATCTGCTAAGACCCCGGAGAAACTTGTGGGCAGGGCTTCTGTAAAGACAGGATCCATCATACAGGAAGTATAAATTACTTCCTGTGCTGAATGGTAATTATGTTTTTCAATCATGAGCTTTAGGAATAATTTACATGCTGAGAGAGAAAAACAATAATGATCCCCTGGGGTTAAAAAAAAAAAACCACACACACACACACACACACACACACACACCCTCTCTTGTACATCTATCTTTATGAGGACATTCATTGACACAATGCAATCTCTAGCCCCTTACCCTAACCTTACTCATCAGAACTAAGTGCTTAACCCGAACCCTTACCCTAAACCTACCCTTAACCTAATTATAACCTTATCCCTAAAACCAAGTCTTGACCCTCAAACAGGCCTTTAAAGGGGTCTCAGAAAGTGAGGACCGGCCAAAATGTCCTCACTTTACTCTCTTTGTCCTCACTCCAATGGTCTAAAACTCAAACTGGTCCTCAGAAAGATAGTCGTACAAGTACACACACACACACACACACAACACACAACACACAACACACAACACACACACACACACACACACACACACACACACACACACACACACACACACACACACACACACACACACACACACACACACACACACACACACACACACACACACACAGCCAGCTAAATACAAACACGAAGAAAACAAAGCTCATGGGAGCATGGAGCTGTGTGCAATAGGTTTTACATAGCAGTATTGAAATGAACAGTGATACTCAAGTTTCATAACTAAGTAAAAGTACAGATACCACATCAAAAAGTGGTATTTTAATGGAAAAGAAAAAGAAAAATATATATTTTCTTGCTTTTATTCAGCAAGGATGCATTCAATTAATCAAAAGTGACAGTAAAGACATTTCTAATGTTACAGAAGAATTCTAAAAAATGCAGTTCTTTTGAACATTCTATTCATCAAAGAATTCTGAAAAAAAGTTTCACTGTTTACACAGAAATATTATGATAATCAGTTTCTTGATAATAGTTTTGTAATGTGTATGTTCTGTTTTGTTATTGTGGTATTTGACATGGATATAATAAATTTGAGTATGACATGTATGTAGACTGTACGATGATGACATCTATTGAATCATACTACACAAGTTAGCATAGAAGAAAAAGACGTCATAAGCATGCGCTAGTGGTAAACAAAATAGAGCAAGTTGAATCACTTTGGCAAATGTGATTTTAATGAGCGCTGAAAAAAAAAAAAAGAGTAGTAAGCGAAAGAGAAAAACATGGAGGCCGTTATGGCTAGGGAAAAGAGGCTAACTTAGCGTGCCAATTTTGCACATGGAGCTTGAGGTAAGTAGTTTTATATTTTAGCACCATGTCGCGTTGATCAATACGCCATTTCATGTTGCACTTTTATTGGCTAGTCAGTAGACGTAGGTTGTAGCAGCAAACGCACTATGAGATGATCATGCTAAATTTCACTGTCACTGTTAGAAAATTATCACAGGTTATCTTTGGTCGCAAGACCGTGACAGCGGCCATCTTTGACGTAGGACCACTGTTTAGGAGCCACGACCACAGAAATCACCTCGATTGGTCGTCTTTCCTCTGGGACAGCCCAAAAGTGTACAATGTGTACCGGGTATTAAAAGTGCTTGTGTTTACTCCTATGATCTTCGTTTTATATACTCCTATGATCTTCCTAAGTTTTCCGTTGTGGATTTAATAAATACCATATTTTGTTTTCTACTCTTTTCATCGTGTGCATTACTACATCGTACAGCAACCATAAAAAGTCGTGAAATCTTTTCTGCAGAAATTATTTCTGAAGTCTCATGTTACACTGAAGACAGGAGTAATGACTGATGAAAATTCAGCTTTGCTGTAATATGAATACATTACATTTTAAAATATACCAAAATATAATTAAGTTATTTTAAATTATAATAATATATCCTAATATTACTGTTTTGATCAAATAAATGCAGCCATGGTAAGTATTCAAGTGCTATTGTTGACACTACTGTATATTCTGGAAATAACGGCAAAGACGCTTATCGGGCAGGATGTTTAGACTTTTCTTTGCGCTTCCTACATTTTAATGAGGGTAATGAATAACAAGACAATCAGAATGTATCGGAGTAAAAATATATTTTTACATACGATATTTATCTGGATTGAAAATATACAGATATTTATCTGGATTGAAAAAAAAGTGAGGAAAACAAAAGTTGCAACAAATTAAAATATTCAAGGAAAGTAGAAGCAACTTCAATAAAGTACAGATGTACACTTCAGTACTTCACACTACTGGAAATTGAAAAAATACAGGGGCTATGTAAGAAAACATTTTCAGCATTATATTCACATGTTGGCGATATAAAAACATAAAAAAGCACCAGAGTCATTACTTTAATGCTGTCTCACTAGCTAAAATAACAAATATAAGACTAATCTTAATATGATTTTCTCTCATCAGTGGTGTTCAATATTGTCCTTCATTAAAGCAATAAGCCATAAAACGTAGTGTGTTACAGTGATTTTACTACTGGTACTACAGTGATTTTTCTTTGGCAAGCCGAGTATCTAAAACTCTCTGAAATGGCAGCAACAGAGTGTTTATTAAATATTTTAGCTAATGTGTTTATGCATTATACTCACAATAAGATTGTAGTATTCTCAGCTTTATTCCACAGATTTTCCCCCAGAACCAACACAGAAAAATGCCATTACCTTGGAAGACATTGGTTTCGAGTGTAAGTAATGTTGGGGAGCGAGTGGCCACTTACCTACTGGCCCTCAAATTAATCGACCATCTACATGGAGAAGCAGAGCCACATCAATCCTTGTGAAACATAAACCTTTCGACGATTTCTGGCAGCTGAAGGAAAGAGATACATGGCAGACGCTCCTTGCCCATGATCTTCCGGATTCTAATGCGGCACAGGTCCATCAATCTCCTCGGGTTTCCTGTGTTAGAAAGCAATATTAGTGAGCACAGGTAATAGCAGTGCTCAGTGCACTTTAAATATAAAACTTGTTGTATAATATCAAGGAAATGCAATTACCCTGCTTATTTGTTTATTGTAGATGCCTTTTTGTTACACATATTTATCCAATGTATTGAAAATAATGCATCGCTTACAATGTTATTTATTTTTCTTTCTAAGAAATGCCTTATACTGTATTGGCAGAGTCAACAGTAAATGTTAGTTATGAATGTGTGTGCGCCTACCCATGAGAGGGAGGAGCAGAAGTGTGTGTGTTTATGTGTGTGCTCAATGACACAAAAGACTGTGGTTCTACTGTGGTTCATCCCCCAGAACTTTAAAAGGAAATCAGCCATCTTGGTTGAGTTTTCTGGTGTTCAAGGACATGCAAATGTGGACAGTTTACACCTGCGAGGCCTTGAGAAGGTTCTTGGAAACTTTGGGAAACTTACAACTTCAACAATCAAGAAGATTAGTACCTAACTTCAGTGGCACACAACAGAAGTATAAAAGACTGAAGAGTTGATCGCTCGCCTCTTAGGATACTGATACGTCATACTGACGCCTAGAAGACCAGAGCTGAGGACAAGAAACCCAGAGCTGACTACAATATGAGTACTTTATACTTTAATGATGAAGTATTATGTGCCTTTACATTTTTGCATATTATAAAAAGAAAAGTAACTAATTAAAAGAAATTGAATTGATTACAAAAACTGCCTACCGAGGCTTTGCTCTATAGTGTTTTTAGTGTGACCCATCAATAACATGACATCATCTACACAACTTACTTTTGGCCTCCTGGAAGATTTGAAGGGCTTCAGCGTTGACCTTTAAGCGAACCATGCTGTCAGGATCGAGCTTGTACCAGGGGACCAGATACGGGTCAGCGCCATGGTCCAACAGCAAGCAAACAAAGGCGGGTTCGCATCCGAGTTTCAGAACTGCATCCAGCATACAGGAGGCCCGGCCCCTGACCAGCGCTTCCCTGTTCACGGGGCCATTGTAGTTGTAGTTTGGGTTGGCCCCGGCATTCAGAAGCATCTGGAAGCAGGGGAAGTGGTGGTAAACAGCGCTGATGAACAGTGGACAGACTGCCAGAGTTGCCAAAGTGTGGGTGCCGTACATAGCCCTCTGTTCCAGTCGATGGTCAATGTCAACATCAGCATTGAACCTGTGTGTATTACAGGCCACATACAGACTAATGAACTACATTCAGTCAGAACTAAACTCCCAATAAAGCTGTTCTCATTTACATATTTGTTTTGTTGAACGAGTGCAGTCATATTCCAAACTGCTGCTTGGCACTGCTAACATTTTGATTTATAATTGCAACGTCGTCTGACAAAATCACCATGGACATACTGCAAGTTAAAGACAATGTCTGTGATTTCAGACATATTTGTATTTACATAACTATATTTACAAGTAAAATGATAACAAGAGAACAGAGAGAACGTCCGAGGCGACATCATTGTTTTGTTTGTTTGTTAAATGCCCCAAAAATTGCCCAAATATATATTATAATGGGCACGCCAGTCATTTCCTGCCAGTATTGAGAATCGAAAGCGCAACCTTTGGGTTACCAGTCTGACTCTCTAGCCATTAGGCCACGACTGCACATTCAAATTAGTCACTCAGTAATGGCAGAGTTTGCAAGATATATCATTTGTTAAGCGATCCTACCTGATCAGCTCTCTTAGGATGTCCACTCGGCCCACTTGTGCAGCGTTGTATATAGGTGTGCTTCGGTGATGCCTGCTGCCGTTCGGATCAGCACCAGCTCTCAGAAGGATCTTCACACAGTCCAGGTGTCCATTAACCACAGCCACGAACATAGGAGTCTGACCCTTCACATCCACCAGGTCCACTCCAGCTCCGTGAGAGATCAGGAACTCCACGCATGTGCTGTGACCCATCATGGCAGCAATACGCAGGGGAGTGCAGGGTACCAAACCACATGACCAAATCAACTTCTCGTTGATTCGCCTAAAAAGGAATTCAGTGTTACACATTTCAGCTAACACAATCTAATATTTTGTGTTAACATAATTAAGCAACCCAGATCACCATTTGAATTGGACAAGAACATGCATTTGGCAGAAGCTTTAATCCAAAGCGATGGTTTGTGAGCAGTGCTGCAAACTACTCTTAATGGAAAGCATTTAACGCCTGCTAGAAAAGTCTTTTAAATGTCGCTAGATGACGACATGTGCTAATTAGCATATTCATTACGTTGATCTAATACGTCATCACTTAGTATTTGCATTCTGCCTAATGTCAGCATTTTACTTTTGTTCCCTTCTCTCTTGCACTCTATGCTCACACACAGTATATTAATATAGCCAAATAAAGCCCAATAAAGCTGTTCATATGTACATATTTTTCTGTTTCTGCTGTCAGACAATGGAATGAGTATGAAATAGACTATATGCAATCACTTTCTGCCTATCTGCAATGCTAAAATCCTGATTTAAAATTGCGACATCATCTGGCAAAATCACCATACATATACTGCGAGTTAAAGAAAATGGCTGTGTTGTGATTTCAGCTATATTTACATGTAAAACGATAACGAGAGAACAGAGAGAATGTTAGAAGTGACAGAATGTCTCTTATTTTTTTATTTTGTTTGTTAGTTAATTTTTTTTTGTGAAAAATTGCCAAATATATTTAAATATAGCCAAAGTATCTCAATGTCGAAGAACAATAATAAAAGTCGCTGCAACAATAAGAAATAATGAAATATCGCAAAATATTTTTTCGTGCGTAAATTATCTCTCAATAAATATAATAAACTCAGAATACATTTTTATGTTAGATTTTTTTTTTCAAATTTGTTTATTTTTGTACGCTACACGGAGCTTTGGTAAAGAGTTAAGTCGCCATTGTATGTGGGCCCTAATTAAAGCAAACCATTGTGTAGGTTTTCTTTTTACAGAAGAAAAGATCTAATACTACTTCCATTTCGCTGTTTCGTCATGACTGACTGACTGACTGACTGACTGACTGACTGACTGAATGAATGAAATTTCACTGTTTGAAGCTGTCTTCTTGTAGTAGGGTCTTGAGAGTGTCTAGATCTCCCAAATGGGCAGCATTGTGTAGACGCATGTCCTCACTCGGTTCCAGAGGCCTGTCGCCGAATTGCTCCTGGAGCCATTCCCTCAGGTTACGACCTAGCAGAGACCAGATCAATAAATGAAGATAGATCTGTATGATAGGCGTATGTGTAGTTGTTGAAAAGCTTCTTAGAAACACTATGAAGATATTTTAAGCTCACCCTATGGACAGATTCCTTTAAAGTAAATTCTCACATTTGTATCTGTAGCCTAAGTGCCTCACATTTAACTCATACAGAGTAATTATAAGATTGTTTATCAATACTGAAATAAATGAAAGCTCGTTTCCGCCACAGAATAAAACATTTGAAAAGATAATTGGAACTTTTTATCTCACAAGTGCGAGTTTATATCTCGCAATTCTGACTTCTTTTCCCAGAATTGTGAGATATAAAGTCCAATTTGGAGGAAAACATTCTTGTCACAATTGCGACTTTTTATTAGCCTGGCATGCCAGACCTACATCAAGATGTTAGGTCTGGGAACTCTCCAATGACATGCCTCAATCCGAGGGGCGGGATAAACGGTTACCTTTCAAAATCCCTCTGCACGCAATAGGATAGCGCTACAACCAACCAGAGCAACGAACGGTTGTGGATGAGTGAGTCCCATGCATTTTTCCACCAGCGGAGCTAATTGATATATTAAACTTTTGCCGTATCAGGTCGGCAAAACTCCGAACACATCTTCCTTTTTTAAGAATGACTTAAGTGACGTTCTCTTAACTCCAAGTCCTCCAGAGTCGCGGCCAAAGCCGATTCGAAAGACCGCTGCATCTTCATTGTTTTCAAGTAGCAGGGAAATCACCTATGGAAATCACGCGGAACGTCATGAACTGTGCCGTCATTGTGTTAAGCCCGCCCGCCGACTCTATACACGATGTGATTGGCCCGACCAGTTTTTGGTTTTTCCAGCTCAAAAGCCTATGGAGAGTTGCTAGACCACACTGGCTGCGAAATAATTTTCGCTGCCGCTAGGGTGAGTCTAGATTTCTAGCCTAACTTTTTATCTCACAATAGGCTTTATGCACAGCTTCACTACTTCCTGAACTTCAGCCAGCCCTTTGTTTCCTGTCTGTCATTATAGACTAGAGGGTATGCGCATGACGTCACCGTCGGCCGGAGTGAATGCGGTCACGCCCACAAGTGGCAAAAAGACTGAGCGGCAGCATTTGTTTTCAGCGTGAATGCCGTGAAAATCACACAAAACACATCTAAAACGGGAAAGAGCTTTGCGATTGACTGTACAACTAGATTTGACCAGAAATCTGAGGTACTGTATATTTTTACAGACTGCAAAAAGCTACAGAACAGACTATATTCTGCATAATTGGATGTTTTTAAATAAACACTGACAAAAAACTATACAAGTTTTAGGGCTGGACGATATGATGATATACAGTATAACATTAATGTAAGTGATCACTCGGATTTAGACCTATCTATATTGTATTTATATAAAACGTTTACAGGCAAATTGTCTTCATTTATTTCCCCGGCGTCGAAATCAGGCACATATAAATGTCAGGAAACACGATTCCTGGCTGCATGTCAATATCCATGGATCACTGGATCTTTGATAAGTTGTAAGGAACACTATATCGAGTCCAACTTTTAGTTTAAACTGATAATAGTTTGTTTTACTCGCGTTAACGCAGTTTCCCCTATTAACTCCAGTCACGCAGCAGCTCTTCTGCCACTTAGTCAGTCCCGCTGAGGGGGGCGTGTTCAGGCGGGGAAGTGACGTTAATGCATTCCCTCTATTGGACAAACTGATTAATCCAGGTGTGCCTGGCCTCAGTAACAATAATCAGGCACACCTGGATTAATCAGTTTGTCCAATAATGACAGACAGGAAACAAAGGGCTGGCTGAAGTTCAGGAAGTAGTGAAGCTGTGCATAAAGCCAATTCTGACTCCATAACACACAATTGCAACTTTATCTCATGCAATTGTGACTTTATAGCTCGCAACTGTGACTTTAAATCACGCAATTCTGACATTATAACACGCAAATCTGACTATATCACGCAATTCTGCAGTTTATAATTCGCAATTGCAAGTTTTTAATCACGCAATTCTGAGATAAAAGGAATTGCGAGATGTAACTCAATTGCAAGAACAAAAAGTCCGAATTTTGAGATAAAAGTCACAATTATCTTCTTTTTTTTTTTAAATTCTGTGGTGGAAACAAGCTTCCATAAAAATGGCTTTCATCCAGATATTTGAAAATGTCTTGCATTACTATATCTGTCAAACAACCCCTCAATCTTCCGGAATAAATTGAAAACGGCCGCTCTGCTCCTGTCAGTGGACACGCTCGTCACCATGCTCGTCACTCCACGTTCGACATCAGCCATGCCTCTCGCGATGTTTGCTTTATCGCACACGAAGTAAACAGCACTTTTGAATTAGACGTAATAACCAGAAACGTTTTCCAATGGTTATGGTCAAATGGGTACATTGACCGTAGTTTCAGCAATATACGTGAATATCTTTCACTTGGGTGTGTAAGAGGCTTTTCAACAATTATGGCTTACACAGTCCATAGATCTGCATTGAACATAATGGAGTATTAAACAGCTGAAAAACTTATGTTCATTCTTATATAAATGTTTAGAATAAGTCAGTCATTCGGATCAGAGGTAACTTACAATCACATACCAGCTGTGTTTGGGCGCTCAACATTCTCTCTATCAGCCATCATGTCCTGTCAGTCTACTTCAAAATAATGTCATAAACCACAACCAATGACTAAAACTATCGTGAACGTCTTTCTCTTGATGTTGTTTTTAGCAGCAGCATGGACTCATAACTGCATCACTGTAAGAGCTTCTCTGATTGGCTGACTCGCAGTTGTCTGGCTCAGGCTCATCTGGTCTTAAGGTGGACTGATACATGAGGATCTTTAAATAGCCTACTTATCTAATGCTTTAATACAAAGTGTGACTTAAAATTGATAATTAGACAACCAAAATCAATTTATTATCCCAGAGACACCAATATACGCAAGTATGCTACCAAAAATATGAATTACAAGCATTATAAAATGGCAGTTAAAGCATATAAACACTATGCCATTTCCATTAGAGTAAATGCTAGTAACAGAGGTCTTAATTATTTTATTTATTATTTTCCACCAAGATGTCTTTACTGTAATATAGCCATATATTTTATATTGAGGATATTTGCAATTTCCATTATTTTATATGGGGATTGTCATTACTGTAGTCGTCAGTAGCCCCCCCTTGTATTACATTAAAGTAGTACTGCTACATTTAAATCAGCTTTAATTAAAGGCAGTACCACATATACCATGTGAATAATGAGCATTAACATTAATCTAGCTTTCTGAACCTGAACATGTTTTTGACAGTTTTCCTGAGATTCACACATACACTCACTGACCTTCTGCTCGTTGACTCAGAGACCCGAGGAGAGTTCAGTCCAGTGCGGTGTGGACCAAAGCTTGAATCTCTGTAACTGTGGTAGGTGACTTGAGCCGGTCATTGTTGGAAGTTTATTCTGAAGAGCCGCAGACGCATGCCGTATTGCTGCCTGACGACAGCTGAAGCATGTACGCTGGCCTACGGGCTTTAAAAATAAACAGCGAGCCTGATGGCCCCATGTGTCTCTGAAGAGAACTGGACCGTAGGGACCTACAACGCACAACTTTCTAAACACAAGCTACTCTGTGCAGGAAAATAGGAGACATCAGTCAGAGGGCTTTCTCGTTCAGCTCACACTGTTGAAATCTCATAATTATACAACAGATTTGGGCTGAAATATGCCTATTAATACAACAGCTTTGACACATTTTAATTGTTTTTTTTTTTTTTTACTAAAATGTGAACCTTGCATGTGCAAAATTTGCTACACAATAACTAGCCATTGGATTGCTATGGGGTTGCCAATGTGTTCTGGGTGGTTTTACCATGTTGCTTTACCATTGCTAGGGCTTTTGGGTAATTTTCAGCATGAAGCTATGTAGCTAAGGTGTTCTTAGTGTTTTTTTTAGGATTGCTATGTGGTTGCTTGTGTAACACCTCCGGTTCTGAGTTTCTGGCATGGGAGTCGGACGCGCTAACAAGGCTAACAGGCTAGTCTCTAGCATCAGTGACAATTAGTTCGCCTCTTGAGGCCAGGGGAGTGAGGGTTACCTTTACAGCTCTTAATAGCTGGCTTCTGTTACACTCACCCCCTAAACCTCTCTCCCATCCAGGTCACGGCACCAATGTAACCCCTCCGGTTCTACTTGCACCGTTCTGAGCGGGATTCTGCCATGGTAGGCTGAGCGCTAACAAGGATGCTAAAGACCACAGTCTCTAGCATCAGTTGCTAGCGCACCTCTTGAGGCCAGGGGAGTGAGGTTTACATGCACAGTTCTTACTAGCTGACCTTCGTTACACTTTGTTAAAATGTTCTGGGTGGTTATTAGGGGGGTTTTAGATCAGGCTCAGTTTTTTATCTGTTTTATGGTCCGCCAAGTCAAAACATTTGAGTAATCACTTAGAAAAGTAACATCACCTCTTAACACAGCGAACAATCAATGTGAGGAATCATGTCTCTCTGTGGCATAAACTGTGCAGGACGAGTTACATGGTGAAGTTTAATATTATGGTTAGTGGCTTTGTTTGAATCCCTAACCCTAAATATGAGCAATCGTAATAATGTATTGAGGTTTACTTTCTTAGAAAAAAAAAAGATCTTTGTTAATAGCATTTTAATGACGGACCGGCTCTTCCTGGAGGTCATACACTAAAGCATTTTCTTTGCTGGTTATGGTGCATTGAGCTACTTCTGACCAAAAGTAATATAAAAAAGGACTTATTTCTATAGAGCATTTAATGAAGGTAACCGAAGAACACAAGTTCCACCTGTTCACCGGTCTTCTAGCAGCACAATCATTTCTGACAGTCCCAAGGACCCTCCGGCTGGTGTTTTCTCCAGGGCCCACAGCAGGAGAACACTCGCACAAAAGAGCCCTGCAGGGCACGCGGCCTGTTCACTCTCTGACCTAATCCAAACGTTCGCTCAGGGATCTCAGGCAGGTGCCCAGGTTTTCAAGGGCCTCCAAATCCTGATCTTAAACACCCCAGCCAACTGTTACTCAATAGACGATCGAGTGCTCGCGCTGTATGTGCGTGTGAGCCTGCGGTGCAGCTGTTTCAAGCTCCGCCAGAATAAAAGTCAAAACTGATGTGCTGATACAGGCTTTTAAAATGTTATTCAGTGTTTTCGCTATGTCCCACCGGGTCAGCTTTCCAAAGCGTGGTGTGTGACACGTTAAACACGTCCAGGCCTTTTTGTGAACTCGTCAAAAACATTCACTTGGCATGTTTATCGCAGCTCTGAAATGCAATTGAAAACGGTCATTAAAATGTTGCAATGTTTACTTAAAGATGACGTGTGTAATTCTTGTGTCACTGGCACCATCAAACAGAATTGGAAAAATAATGACAGTCCAGAATAGAACACAACTATAATTGCAGAACATCGATGTATACTACGAGCATTGCTTCCCACAATGCAATGCGTTTGAGTGACCTTTCCAATGTGATGAATACAATTTATTCAGCAATTTTAATCAATTAGATTGATCAAAACTGACAGTAAAGACATTTGTAATGTTCCAAAAGTTTTCTATGTCAAAATAAATGTTGTTCATCAAAGAACCCTGAAACAAATGTATTACAGTTTCAACAATAATATTAAGCAGAATTGTTTTCAATATTTTTTTCTTGAGCATCTAATCATTATATTAGAATGATTTCTAAAGGATCATGTGACACTAAATATTGGAGTAATGATGCTGAAAATTCAGCTTTGCATCACAGGAATAAATGACATTTTAAAATATATTCAAATAGAAAATAGCTATTTGAAATTGTAATAATTTTTCACAATATAACCGTTTTTACTGTATTTTTGGTCAAATAAATGCAGCATAATAGACTTCTTTTAATCACATTTTAAATTCTTACCGACCCCAACTTTTGAAATGGTGGTATGTATATAAAATTGGATTTAAATAAAAAATATATGCTTTTATTCTGAATAAAAACATGCAATCTCATGATATTTGAAACTTTCTCATTGCACAGTGTGTTCTGTTTAACATAACATGCTGTGCTGCATTCCTTTCCGATCAACCAAAGATTGACACTGCAAAAACTCACACTTGACTTGTACTGTTTGTCAATCAGGTAATCCCACCCTAAACTGGTTAAGCCAATGTTAGGTCCTCCTGTTTGGCACCAACATAGCACAAACATGACACTTTCCAAACTGTATGCACTGTAAATCTGTCACAATTCACACTTTTAATAGAAATGTAACTGTTTATTAGACTTCACTACAAAATTAATATTCATTTGTGAACTATGATACAAAACAACATATACACAAAATGTACAGTAAAAGGTATGGATGTGGTAAAAACCGTTTACAGTGTATATGGTCGGCTCTTTTACAAAGTAAATGATAATTTATTGACGTTTAAGTTGATATTAATAAATAGCAAACAGTATTTTGTGACATAGTGTTCAGCTGATAATACTGACGTAGTGTATAATCTGTATATTAAAGTTTGCCGTTGTATGGTCACCACAGTATCCATAAAGTGTGACTGGTTATACATGTTGAAGATTTTCAAAATGTTGTGCTTGACCAGCTGATCAACTTCCACAGATCGGACCTGTTATTGCTTCATCTAACACAGTTTTGCAAACATTTCAACCTTATTAAAATATACATCTTCAATGTAATAATTGCTTCATGGATCTCAGATTGCAGTAGAAAACTCTCAACAGCCCTCTAAAAAGTGTTTTTAGCAAGTTAAGTTTAAAAAAAAAAAATGAAATATCAGTTGAACATTTTCCATTATTTATATGAATTTGAAACATACACAAGTACATTTGATCAGGGTACATTTCTTGACTTAAAACACATTCATGCCATCTCATCTCATTTCTTAAAACTTACATTAAGCAACTTGAGAGGTTTTTAATGTGTACAAGTAAATGATGTGCTGTATGACGGTCTCATTGGTCAAAGTGCAGAGGTGCGTGTGTAGTGTCTCCAATTTTTGGCAATTCTAAAGGGCATCTTTATTGCTTACTAAATTATATATATGTGTGTGCTGTGTCTATGCACACATACGGTATACATACACATATATAATCATATATCATTGCCAATTATAATCCTATATTATCATTGCCAAGGTTCTCTTGTGAGACAAAAAAAAGGCTGTCAGTCTGAATGGAAAAACAAAATAAAAATAAAATTATCCAGTCAGTCTGTTTTCCCAAGAGAATATGGAGATCATTTTAAAAAAAAATACAGGACACATCAATATGGTGACCACACATTTATCTCTCAAGTAAGTGACAAGTGCAAATCTACTGCAGACGTGCGAGTGTGGACCACCGCGAACAGATCCTGGGTCTTACAGAAGGCACCTTACTTGAAGGGGGTTTGAGGAGGGTGATTCCTGGCCTCCTCAAGTCTCTCCAGTGCCGGCTCAAAGACATCAGGTCTAGTAACAGGAGCTCTCACCACTGCTCAGTGCTTCAGCTATCATTTGGGATGTGTTGATATTCATGTTTGTGAGGAGAAGCTGATGCTGGATACCATCTTCTGGATCTTCTCCTCGTTCCTCAGGATGTTGGACTTGACTGCGCAGATCTTGTCCTGTTGGTCTTTGATTAACTGCTCCAGTTCAGCGAGCTCGGACTTCAGAGGTTCCACAACGGTGTCCGTGATTCTGAGACATAGACAGAGAAACCGTTTAACACAGAAGAACGAGACTATCAAAGCGTTTGGATATCTCAATCATGATAAAGATTGAGATGCATCGGTTGAGAGTTATTATAGCTGATCCTGATGGTAGTTATTTGTACGTAATGGCCGGTAACCAATAGGGTGGCCAATTTTGCAACAAAACAAACAAACAAAAAACAATAATAATGTAATAGTTAACATTTTTTTAAAAAAAAAACTGAATAAAACAAAGAATAAAATAATTTTAAAAAAGTTTAAAAAAAATAATAAATAAAAAATATGCTAAAATTGGCCTCATCCAACCAAGTAAAAAACAAAACATTTATTGAACAAAATTGTTTAATAAATACAATCAAAGTCAAAATGGACTACTTAATTTTTGAAAGCTAAGTATTTTTATGCTTATTAAAACACTGGCTTTTAGCTCAACTTGAAATCAATTTGACTTATGCAGAGCGTTCCAAATCAATCACTTTATTTAGGATGCTGCTTATGTAGGCAGTAGACAACAAGGCAGTTCACTGAGCTAATATGAATGTGCACCTTTGTTCCTGTAACAGAGCCTGTGCGTTCTCCTTGTTCTCTTTGCGCCAAGTCTGCAATTCATTCTGCATGGAGTCCATATCCTCCTGAATGTAGTCCATGATTTTGCCCAGGGGCAGAGCGCTACGGCACACCGTCTGTATGGACGAACGCAAGCGCTCAATCTCCTTCGCCACCAGTTCTCGTTCTTTCTTACGAGACACCTCCGACACCAGCGTCCGATCCTGCAGAGAGAGACGGAACCACAGAATACAGATCAACAATAGCCGTCTCAAAACAATGTCACATCTCCTGACTTTTTGCTGAAATCTCAACCTCTTCTGTCAGAGGTATGGCAGAGTTCACTGATTATGAATAGAAAAGGGGTGACATGCATTTGTAGGATAACACAAGTTTTGTATACATGGCTTTGCGTTTGGATGAGCATCATATACTTGCCCTCATGTCATTCCAAACCTGTATGACCTTTTTTCTTCTATAGAACACAAAATAAGATATTTAAAAATATGTCCAATGTTTTGGACCCCATTGACCTTCATTGTACGGACAGAAACAGTCGAAATGTTCTTCAAAATATTCGTTTACGTTCCACAAATGAAATACGGGTTTGGAATAACATGAGGGTGAGTAAATGATGACGAAATGTTCATTTGTGGGTGAACTGTGCCTTTAAGAGTCGAGTCGTCTGGGCTGTTAATGGCCACTCGCTTCCTCTGATTCTCAAGCGACTGTGTAAATTAAGCTTACAACTGAAAAATGACTAGTGGGAAGTCACTCCCATGAGGGAGCACTTCAGATGTATGCTATAGATGAATGAGGTTAGAGGAAATCTATACCTACCAACAATATACTTTTGGGGGGGAAAAAGCACCAGGGAGAAGTCTGCATTTAGTGGGTTTTCAATGTCAAGGCTACAAATGTTTAGAATTTCAAGGCAGGAATTATACAAACCTTGCAATGTATATAAAGATCAAAACGAAAGAGACATGGGATCCATAATGTGAGTGAGTGGTTACTGAAGGCCTGCTCTGTATGCGGTGTGGTTGGGGGGTCCTGGTGTGCCCCAGTCACCCTTCAGCCAAGCACAAGAAGGCCCCCCTGGCACACAGGGCCCGTGTCTATTTACTCAGCTGGGGCCACAGGCTGTGTGTGGCACTAGGCCAAGCAGGCTTTACTCTTACTGCCTCCGTCCCACTCAGACACACACACACACACCCTCATGCAAGACATGACTTTGTTTATTTTAGTAACAGGCAATGGCAGCGAAGTTATTTTACAACAGTATTTGGTAACAACTACTTCACATTTACCTTGTTTCAAGCTGAACTGCTCAAGCAATTCATGTCATTACGGCCACAAACACTAACATCTTCCTTTCTAAGAGAGAACATGTCAAAGCTGAGCTACATGACAATTCAATTACCAGAAACTTCCTTATCAAAATAGACAAGAGCATTACATGAACTCTTCAAAAGGTGAGATATTTACAATATTTTTGCAATGATTTTTCTGGCAATATACAACTAAGCAATATTGTAAATATCTTGCTGATTTTAACTAGCTTTTTATCTGGCAATTAAGCATCATTACACCAGTTTCACAATCCCTCTCTCTCAATTTGTGAGTATGAGAGTGTTAAGACAGGTGGTTTAATAACATCTGTGACTTAAACTTCAGAAGCCAAAATGGTGTTAGTGTTGGTAAGTTTCATGCAATTCAATGGATCAATTCATAACCCTATAATCAATATATAATCTATGTTGTCACACACACACGCACGCATGCACAATTTGGTTTAAAATTATTATTGTATATATTTCAAATAATTAATATAGACCAATGTAATATAAATAAAATTATCACATAGTACTAGATAGATAAACAGTGGGTCAAACGCTATTAAGATTTGAAATCTGAAAATATTTTCATAAAGAGCCGGTCTCTAATCATCCATGTTTTGAAACTGAAAGTTTATTGTTAAAACGTTACAGAGTCCGGTAACTATATTGCAAACACTTCAAAGGTTAACTATGTTGCTTTTCTCTAGGACTCGAAACAAACAACTGAGAAGAAAGACTAAATTCACCCCCCTCCCCCCCCTCCCTCTCTCTGTGGTTTACAAGTGCGTTCAGATTGAAATGTCTAATAGTTGTCTGCAATGTGGGTGGTTTCTCTGGCCCTTAAACACCCCCTCTACACAAACACCGGCGAGCACATTCGGCTCACTGTTCGTGGAGCGAGAAGGCCAGGCCAGATTCGCTCTGTTTGCCGTCCTCCTGCACCTCACCCCTCAGTCGAAAAGAAAAGAAAAACTCAGGCTTTCTGTCTCAGAGGACATAAATCAATCGTTTATAGGGGCTCTCATTTTCCCCTCTTCAGTCGGACCCAAGAAAAATATTTGTTTTGCGCGAGGCAGCTGAGGACAGGTTTTCCCATTATCTCGAACAGTGACACAAGCGGGATGTGGAGTCGGTGTGCCGGGGGCAGGTGGCTTCCAGAGACGCTGATGCATTGGGCCGAAGCCTCTTGCACCGGGATGCCTCATTACCCCGCTATGTGGATCTAAGCCTTCAGCTGCAAGCCCAATTTGCTTAATGAAGCAATGCATGCAAAATGCATGATTAATAGAGTGCTAATGAAAAACTACAAAATAAAGCAGACCAGCACTCTTCCAATGAGAGCTCTGGCAAAGAAAATCACGGAATCGCAATCCTCCTGAGAATGATAAACTTGAGAAGCATTCACTTTGCCATTTGTCATGGTTCTGTGGATCTGAAACTTGAGTTCAAACGCGATTAATGAGATAAACTGGGCTTATAAATGAGAACAGTTTTTTTTTTCTTTTAGGACAAGTATGACAAACTTTAAATATGAAGCAAGTAATTTATTCATCACTAGCAGCATCAAACAGAAATGGGGAAAAAAATGGCAAACACTCCCCTCGTCTATCACTGTTTGGACAGACATGCAGTTCCGTCCCCAAAACTGCTGTATATATATGCTGTATATATATATAGATATATTTTAAACCTTTCAAAAAATTATAGATTTAGACTTTTTTTTTTTTTTATAGTCATGAAGTTTAGTGTGAGGAGCATTTTCTTTAGTTAAAGTACTTAAAGACAGTACAGGCACAGACAGGTATGCTACGTGTAAACATGAGAGCCAAACTCAGTGGAGGATCAGTTCCACACAACCAGTCACAAAATAAGTACATTTTCACAAGTACACAAAAATTGCTTCATTTTGAAAAGGACATCAGTGAAAGTAAGGATACCTAGCAGTTCGGTGAGAGTCAGATGTTTGCGTAACGGCTCTGATGAATTCAGTGAGTTATTTGTCAGACTGATTCAAAACAGTAACTTGAGTGAAAATAATCATTAAAAAAAGTCATTTGTCTGTGAATCGGACTACACTGGCATTTTGTTTGTTTTTATGTGCAGCTTGTGAGGACAGGACAACTTAATAGAAAGACGTGCACAGTCTTTATCACTACATATTCAGACTGCAAAATTACATTCACTTATCTGGTAAACATGATTTTTTATACTGGTGCCGAGTCATCACTGACATAACTGCAATAGATACGATGCGATACACAAAATATGTAAACAGGTTAACATATTTCTACCAGTTTCTCATTTTACCCTGTATAACGCTCACCCCTAGTTTGCATTGAGAACGTTTTCAGATTAGTTTTCAGGAGGGGAGGTATGATCAGGTAAGATCGATAAAAAAAAAAGTGCTACTTTTTGATTGGTAAACATATTCCACTTATAGATCAGTACTACTTTAATTTGCTTACTTAAAACATTTAAAACAGTGAGATGCTGTTGCATTTCTTTTGATGACCAAAATGACCAAAATGCATTATTCTTTACAGAGGATTTTATTTAAACTACATGGTGAAAGAATTTAACATGGACAGTGGCTTCAATGGCAAAGTCCTTTTTAGACAGCTTGCTATATTGCTCCATGGTGGGTCCAAAGGGGAAAGATTAATTGTTTAGCAATGTTTAGGGGTTTCCTCCTTGGGGAAAACATGGGCCCCGTCCAGCAACATCATAAAAATAGCTGGGATGAAGTGAAGTGCAGAGAGGCGGAGTGGTATACACAGGATGGAGGGGTCAGTTCAGCCCCGTGGGGGTCACCGCTGAGATCACCATCCTGCACTTGCGTGCTAAGCAGATCACCACAGAACCACAGCGTATGACAGTTCAACTTATGAGAACCAGAGAGTGGTAAGACTGAAATGATAGGTTAAAATGCAACCAATTAAGCTATCAGACGTCAGAGACTTGAATCGTGGTATTTCAACGTAACCTTTGGATCATTCCACAGGGATGTCAATCGTCTCTCGATGAGGGCAAAACGTTGAGGAATGCCACAAGAGTCATTTCCCTTACATATCCAACAAAAAAGGTAGATGTTTACAAAGACACAGGCCTGAAGGGATGACTATTTATTTTCTTGCCCGTTCGGCAGAGCACAAGCTGGTGTGGTGTTCACTCAACAGCCATCCATTTGTGTGCCATGGGGTTTATTTATACATTGCAAACCTTCATCAGGCTAATTTGATTGCGCAAAAGAGGGGAAAGGGAAGAGGGGAAAAAAAAATGCTTATGAAAACGCAGCTGCTGTCAGGGGCCAATACTCTCAAAACAAAAAAGACGCCCTACAAGAAGTATCTTACAATAATATACACGTGATCTGGAAGGTCACAACAGAGGTCAGCTGCAAAATGTACGGCAAATTCTTCAGCAAAACGCACCGAGATAGGAAATGGCCCATCATAATATTGCATCCGGCCTGTTGTTTCAGTCAAATGAAAAGTATAACGTCTAGCAGATCTTGATAAATGAAGTTCTGTCGACCCTGGCGAGGTAAATCTTCACTTACGAAGCGGAACGACGGAAAGCTCAAGCTAATAAAGCCACGGAATGAGTCATTGGCTCGGTTTCACCTTCGGAATTACTAATAGTCAAAACTCAAAATTCTGTGGTCATTCCGAAGAGATTAAGTCATCCGTACTTGATGTGGGGATCACCGTAAACTCAAAATCCTGGAGAGATCTGAGAGCGAAAGCTCATATTTGTGAAGTGATTTATGAGTGCTGGAACTCCAAACCTGTTGAGGAGGATAAGGAAGCTCAATATTTACATTTTTAACCCTGGATGCTACACCGTGATTACAGGAGAGCAGCCGCTTTATTGCGTTGACCTTCACCCCCCTTTCAAGTCAGGAAGGAAGTCATTACAGGATTCTTTTTCATACAGCTGACTAGACAGGAGAGGTGCGGAGTCCCAGTTAACATGTACTACCTCAAAAACGCACGTCCATTTCATGCCCCGCAATTAAGACAAAGAATTTAGAAAGCTGATGAGGCTAAATTAAGTCAATTAGGGGAGCGCGCCATGCAGCGCTCAGGTTCCAGCCCGGAGTTGGCCTGCGTCTGATGGGGGGAAATCTAATTTGATTATTTGGGATTGAAAGGAAATCCAGTCTGATTGTTTTGAAATCAAGAACACAGGAGGGAGAAGCGCTCGCTGTAAGGGCCAGCTGGGAGCAGCTTACTGTGTGCGGTTGAGTTTGAACACCAAACGAGATCTCGCCGAGAGCTCACGTCTGTTCATTGAGGACTGTAACCAAATGAATTAAATGAAACTTTTGCGATAATTTACTTACCCTCATGTCTTTCCAAATCTGTAAAAGTTGAAGAATGTATTGACCACTCTTTTTCACGCAAGGAAAGGTAATCGGAACTCCAGTTCAGGTTTGACATCAAAGTCTTAATTTACATACAGTACATTACATGGAGAAGAAACAACAAAAACAGTTTTAAATATATGAATTTCAATGTAGCTTTTGAATTAATATGAGGTTATAAAAATAGCACACACTACTGTTGAAAAGTTTGGGCTCAGTAAGAATTTATAATGTTTCTCAAAGGAACATCTTATGCTCACCAAAGCTACATTTATTTGATACAAAATACAGTAAAAACAGTAATATTGTGAAATATTATTGCAATTTTAAACAATTTATATTAAAAAAATTATATATAGTGTTATACACTCACCGGCCACTTTATTAGGTACACCTGTCCAACTGCTCGTTAACACTTAATTTCTAAGCAGCCAATCACATGGTGGCAACTCAGTGCATTTAGGCATGTAGACATGGTCAAGACAATCTCCTGCAGTTCAAACCGAGCATCAGTATGGGGAAGAAAGGTGATTTGAGTGACTTTGAACGTGGTATGATTGTTGGTGCCAGAAGGGCTGGTCTGAGTATTTCAGAAACTGCTAATCTACTGGGATTTTCACGCACAACCATCTCTAGGGTTTACAGAGAATGGTCCGAAAAAGAAAAAACATCCAGTGAGCGGCAGTTCTGTGGGCGGAAATGCCTTGTTGATGCCAGAGGTCAGAGGAGAATGGCCAGACTGGTTCGAGCTGATAGAAGGGCAACAGTGACTGAAATAACCACTCGTTACAACCGAGGTATGCAGCAAAGCATTTGTGAAGCCACAACACGCACAACCTTGAGGCGGATGGGCTACAACAGCAGAAGACTCCACCGGGTACCACTCATCTCCACTACAAATAGGAAAAAGAGGCTACAATTTGCAAGAGCTCACCAAGATTGAACAGTTGAAGACTGGAAAAATGTTGCCTGGTCTGATGAGTCTCGATTTCTGTTGAGACATTCAGATGTTAGAGTCAGAATTTGGCGTAAACAGAATGAGAACATGGAACCATCATGCCTTGTTACCACTGTGCAGGCTGGTGGTGGTGGTGTAATGGTGTGGGGGATGTTTTCCTGGCACACTTTAGGCCCCTTAGTGCCAATTGGGCATCGTTTAAATGCCACGGCCTACCTGAGCATTGTTTCTGACCATGTCCATCCCTTTATGGCCACCATGTACCCATCCTCTGATGGCTACTTCCACCATGTCACAAAGCTCTAATCATTTCAAATTGGTTTCTTGAACATGACAATGAGTTCCCTGTACTAAAATGGCCTCCACAGTCACCAGATCTCAACCCAATAGAGCATCTTTGGGATGTGGTGGAACGGGAGATTCGCATCATGGATGTGCAGCCGACAAATCTGCGGCAACTGTGTGATGCCATCATGTCAATATGGACCAAACTCCCTGAGGAATGCTTCCAGCACCTTGTTGAATCTATGCCACGAAGAATTGAGGCAGTTCTGAAGGCAAAAGGGGGTCCAACCCGTTACTAGCATGGGGTACCTAATAAAGTGGCCGGTGAGTGTATATAAATGTTATGTGTTCCATTGATGGCAGAGCTGAATTTTTCAGCATCATTAGTTTCACATGATCCTTCAGAGATCATTCTGACGTGCCATTTTGCTGCTCAAGAAACAGATTATCAATGTTGAAAACAGTTGTGCTGCTTAATATTTTTGTGGAAACAAAAATTGAATTTAAAGTGAATAGAAAGTTCAAAAGAACAGCGCTCATTTGAAATAGAAATCTTTTGTAACATTATAAATCTCTTTACTGTCCCTTTTAATCGATTGTATGCACCATTGCTGAATAGAAGTGTTAATTTCTTTTAGAAAAAAAAAAAAACTGTAGGCAAACTTTTGAATGACAATGAATGTAAGCTGAAAAAGAAATTAAAAAAAGGTTTTATTATAGCTATTTAGGTTCTAGCTGAGAAAAGTATGAAATAAAGTTTGTATTCTTTCGTCCTCTAAAAGAATCATTCAATTAAAGAATTATTAAAGAACCAGAACTGTTGCATGAAATCTGCAACAGAGCCACAATTCCTTACAATTCCCAACATCTCTATTTGTTCCTACTGCCAACTCACATGTGACTAAGGTGGGAAGTCAGGGTGAAGGGGTGAGGGTTCTGCATGAAGGCCATCACCAAACGTTGCATCCATCAGGCCTACAGCCAGTGACGGACAGATAGACCGTAGCGTACATTCCGGCAAGTGTGGACCACCCAGGACAGACCACCCTTTCCACCAGGGCACGGACAGGATGACTTCAACACTCAATTCACATTGTTCCCATCTTCCCTGGCTCACAAACCGCCCAAAGAAGGGGTGTGCGATATCACGATTTTAGATTGTGAATGATTAATGTCTCCACGATCTGCCTTCGAAGAGAGATCACATTCAAGCACATTCAATCAGTTGCAGTTCTGGCATCAACGTCCCAACAAACTGTACAACGCGACACAAATTCACATTTAGTAAGGCAGCGGAAGGGTTACACTCACGCGACATTGCAGTTCTTCCCCATCATGAAAGTTTATTATTTGCATGCCTTTTAAAGCCTTGCCAGTTAAACTTTTTATTCGCACACTCGAAGCGCACACACACTAAAAGCCTGTCACACAGCGCGCGAATACTGAAGTTTTCTTCCGCATCTTATTGCACTTAAAGTCCCCCTGTAGTCAATAATTTTATCCCTTAAAACTCATCTTTGATCACCAAAATGACACATTTAAATGCTTTTTTCCCTGAAAAAAAAAGTCTTCATGCCTTAAAATTGCTTGAATGTAACTACACCCTTGCCTCATTTAGCATACACGGTTCTATGACTATGCAAATTAGCCCCGCCTCCACTCACACCAGCTCAGAGGATCACAGGTTGACATGATTGATTGGTTACAAGGTAGTTTGTGTCGTCAGAAACACCAGCAATTTCAAACTGCATTTTTGAGCCTGTCTTTGGTTCACTGCAGTTTTAAGGAGAAAATACTTGGTGGTACAATGGTGTTGACTTATGAATTTGCACATGGTTTGTCTTAAAGCATATTAAAAACACCACATAGACATATAAACAACATTCAAAACTTGATTTTCACCACAGGGGGACTATAAACTCAAATTCGCAAAAGGTTTACATAAACACAGTCATTTATATCTTAAGTAAATGTAAACAGTTTGGATGCGTGTCAGTAGTTTATTAGATCTGTGCATTAGGTCTTAAAGTAGTCTTATAGTAGCCTAATAAGCAATCTCATATTGTATTTGTCCTATTATTTGTAATTTACACCTTTGTTCTTATTTTTAATAACAAAGATAAAATGATAATAAGATGTCGATCGTATTGCCCACCCCTACTTTGGCCTAAATGGTCTGTCATTAATTTTTATTTGTATAAGACAAAACATTTTGGCTGCACTGCTAAGTGACTTACAAATAGTCTTAAAATACGAGATGAAAAAGAATCGTGGTATGTTATTTTTGCAATATCGACCACTTCTAGCCCAAAGCAAGCAAAGACATTGATGAAGTACCACTTTAGATTGATAATGATTTTCAAGTTGTCCTGAAAAATCTTTCCACAAATGTTATGGCTAGAACAGAAAACAGCATAGCCTGAACCACACTGAAACTTCAGATAAAATCCCCCAAAAAGTTTTAACCTTAAAACAAAATCACAAGCAAGCTTATAAAAAGTCACCACCACAGCCTGATTTTCAATTTGTAATGCAGTAACCAAACCCAACAAAATTCACAAACAAACAGGCCACAATTGTTAATGTTAACCACAAAAATATCTAAACAGCATGCACGGAGCCATCATGCTTATTTTACCCTAATTATTTAAGCTCAGTGGAACAGAATAACACTTCAATGCCTCTGAGGGACTGCAATTACATTTCTCCACTCCATTTGCAAAGTTGCTTTCTTTAGTAAACTGACAGTGCACTGGGTCAGGCTTTGGAAATAAAAAGAGAGACAGACACATCCCTGAAGTATTGTTTAGAGCACAAAAAAATGCTTATTCCCTTGATGAAGAGATTTTGAAATGCATTTACTCATGTTACTGGAATTTTGTTGTAAAAAAACAACAACACATGGACAGTGTACGATGGAACAGCACCGCCACCTAGTGGTATTAACAGGAACAACCAGGAGCTTAAAACAATGTCATACCTGTTCTTTTGACTTTGTGGATGGAGATGATTCATAGTCTTTTTTTGTCTCCAGGATTTTTTTCACAAGCCCACCTATGAACAAATGAAAACCATTCAATCTTTTATGACTTTCGCATCTATATTTTTTCCTCATGTGTGTCTTTAAAGGGTTAATTCACAACAATCATAATTTTTATTTTTTATTTGTATTGGACATGGCTTACCATGTTTGTCATCCCCTTGCAGTTCAAGTGAATTACGCTGTAATAAAAAAAGAAAAGAAAAGTGAATCGAGTCTGAATCATGCTGATTTTTTACTGAAATACTACATGCATATAGAGAGCCTGGCTTCACTACCTCCATTTCTGATATGTCAGGGGGAGGTGGAACTGCCTCCTCCACTACAAAATGCCCATCTTCATCATCCTCATCTTCAGAGAGCTTCTTGTCATCCAAAATGACCGTTGCGGGGGTCTTGCCACTGCCCAGCCTGAGAAAACCCAGTCATGCTTAAATTCAACTTCTTTTTTTAAATAAATACTGATGTCTTTTTATCATACACTACTGTTCAAAAGTTTGGGATCAGTTTTTTTTAAAAGAAACTAATAACTTTATTTTGCAAGGATGCAGCAAAGTGAACATAAACAAATTTACAATTTTTCCATTTACAAATAAATGCTGTTCTTCCAAACTTCGTTTATCAAAGAATCCTTAAATAATTTTTTTTTATCAGTTTCAGCAAAAACAATAAACAAGACAAATGTTTTCAACCTTGATAGTAAAAAGAGAGGTTTCTTGAGCACCAGATCAGCAATCTGAAGGACCATGTGACACTGAAGACTGGAAGCTTATTTTCTCCTCAGAATAAAAAAATAATGACCTTTCATCTCACAACTCAGAATTTCTAATACATCTCATAATTCAAACACAATTGCGAGTTTATACCTAAAAAAGTCAATTTTGAGGCAAACTCGGAATTGCGAGAAAACAAGACAAGATATACACTCGCAATTACATTTTTTCTTTTTTATTCTGTGGCTGGAATAATCTTCCATACTGAAGACTGGAGTAATGGCTGATGAAAATTCATCTTTGCCATCACAGTAATAAATTACATTTTGAAATATATTAAAATAGGAACGTTATTTTAAATTGTACTAATATTTCACAATATTACTGTTTTTACTGTATCAAATAAATGCACCCTTGATGAGCTTAAAAAAAAAGGTATCGCCTCAAAACGTTTAAAAGGTAGCATATATCCCTATCACAAAATATTAAGAGGGTATTTCAGGTAAGAACCCCTACTGGTGGTAAAATCAGTGTATGTATCAGTGCATCATTACTTGTGGCTTACTTCTTTAAGGGTTAGTTCACCCAAAAATTAAAATTCTATCAGTAATTACTAGGGCTGTCAGTTAAACGCGTTATTAACGGCGTTAACGCAAACCCATTTTAACGGCGCCAATTTTTTTATCGCGCGATTAACGGTCTTTTTGGCCTAGCAAACTTTGTAGTTCTTTTCACATGCTTTTGCAACAGGATGCGGCACTGCGCTGTGCTATGAAACCCATTCATTTCAATGGCTTGCGCCGTGCGAGGACGTTTTGTTGCTTCGCTGACCAAAGCGCAAGCTGATCTAGCTAGGCCGGAAACAAAACAACAGGCACACACTTGTTTGGGCTTGCGAGCCGGCCAAATAGTTGGTTAACGTTACGTTTTGAGTGGATGGCGAGCGCGAGACGCCGAAATGGATGCCAATAAGATTCTGAATGGAAAGTTTACTTTTCAAAAGTTGCCAAATGGTTCCATTGACAAGACCAAAGTGATCTGTGTGTTTTGTCGTTGTGAATTGAGCTATCATCGTCGCAGCACGTCCAGTCTGAAATACCACTTGATGACGGGCAAGCACACACACACACAGCTGATGCGAATTCTCCGCCCCCTCGTCAATATCAGGACCTCGTCAGTATTTATTTCACCCTTTTATTGATGGACAGTGTTACATTGTGTGAGAGATTTATTATTTGCTCCAAGTGAGAGTCTTAGTGTGAAATTGAACACAGTATATGCCAAGGTTGTTTTCAATAAAAAAACATTTGCACAAAGCCGATCCACTTTTCCATGTTGATAAGAGCATTAAAATGAGTAAAAAATAATGGGACAAAAAGAAATCAAGAGACATTTAGAATAGATAAAAATGTGCGATTAATTACGATTAATCGCGAGTTAACTATGACATTAATGCGATTAATCGCGATTAAATATTTTAATCGTTTGACAGCACTAGTAATTACTCACCCTCATGTTGTTCCAACCCCATAAGACTTTTGTTCATCTTCGGAACACAAATTAAGTTCTTGCGCATGCGTCGTGGCGCTCTCGTGAATTCACGTCAGAGGCCCACAGTTAAGAAAATGAATAGTTGAATAAAGTCGTTATTTTGAGGGGGTTTTGCGGACAAAAAGTATTCTCGTCGCTTGATAAACTTAAGGTTGAGCCACTGTAGACACTTGGACTATTTTAACAATGTCTTTACTAACTTTTCAGGGCCGGCAGATATCGATTACGGAGCACCCTATGAAGGAGTGAGACAGCTCTCAGATTTAATCAAAAATATCTTAATTTGTGTTCCGAAGATGAACGAAAGTTTTTTACGGGGTTGGAACAACATGAGGGTGAGTAATTACTGACAGAATTTTCATTTTTGGGTGAACTATCCCTTTAATATAAAGTGTGAAACTGAGAGCCTGATGAGCGAGATCTCTCACCTCTCTGCTGGGGTCACATCAGTGTAGCTCTCCTGTCGCTTGACGCGGGGGGCTGCCGGTCGAGCGCTGCTGGGCCGTGGTAATCTTCTACTCACATAAACATTGCAAACAAAAGAAGAATGAATATGTTCGCATTAAATACACAAGCACTTTTTGTAAGGTACTCATGTGAATTTATGCGTGGGGAGTTTAAGTAAACGGCAAGTTCCTATATGGCTAAATGCTTACAGAAATAGTCCTGAGAACAAGAGTAATGATCTGGATGAGAGTGATACCTATCTTGTGGTTTGATCTTGCGGTACAGTGCAGTGAAAGTAGGGATTTGCATCAGTGACTTCCACTGCCAGACAATCTCTCACGGGAAAATACATGATACACTCCATTCACCCACAATCCCCTCAGCACATTATCTCACTGGGTTACTTTGTTATCACTGGATGGAAATTTAGCCTTTTTTATTTTTAAATCAATACACTTTTGTGATCATTAGCACTTTAAAGAAAGCACTAGAAAGAAAGCACTAAGAAAGAAAGAAAGAAAGAAAGAAAGAAAGAAAGAAAGAAAGAAAGAAAGAAAGAAAGAAAGAAAGAAAGAAAGAAAGAAAGAAAGAAAGAAAGAAAGAAAGAACAAACCTGTGTATTGTCTGGGGTGGCACAGAATCCGTTGCTTCTCCATTCTCAATGGGGACTGGTTTCTCTGGTGAAGGGATGTCCGCTTCTGGAAGATTTTTTTTTTTGAAAATTTACAGAAAGGGTCAAAATTAGGGCTGTCAAAATGATTCATTGAGATTAATCGCATCTAACATAAAAGTTTGTTTATATATGTGTGTAAACACATACACACACACACACTTATAGACTTACAGTGTGAGTATGCTGTACGAGTTTGGCTGCAGCTTCACACCGGGGCTGTGTGTTTGTTTTTGTTTTGTCTTGTTTATAAAGTATGTTTCTCAAGGTTTCACACACTCATAAAATGGACTTCAACCTAACGAACTCTCGTGATTGTTTTTTGTGATTGTGGCGTGCATCGAGTGTTTCCGTTTGCGGTCCTAGAGTTTGCACTAGTTTGGGCTCTGTTGCATTCGAGATGCAGTTTGACGCGGGTTGCTTGGTGTACTCACTCGAAGTGGGGGGGAAAAGGTGCCGGTACTCTCTTGCATTGGAAAATCATGACATTTGAAATTTCTACAGTGAAAAGCAAAACTTGGAAATATTGCTGGTACAACAACAATTTATTGTTATTTATTAACAACATAAATGTATTTAAACAAGTCGTGTGTGTGCGTGCGTGCGTGTATTTATTTACAAAGAAACATTCTCTTTTTAGAAGTTGGTCATTAATAAACTTGATTCTTGAAGTTTGTTAAGATAGGAGGTATACAACAATTGCATACAACAAAAACAACCAAGAAAACAGCTCTGATATAGTCTTTTCAGTCATATGTTTACAAGACAGCAAACATTTAAAAAAAGTAAACTCGGGTTTGATTTGGGGATGTAGCCTACCTGTCTGTGTAGGCTATTACATAAACTAAAAGAAAGCTTATATTCTGACTAGTTTGCCCGTTTTATTAATTAATAAAACATAGTTTTACCCAAACTGAATAATTAAGACAAGTTTAAATGGCTAAATCTTGTATAAATATTTTTGAGTCTTCATTTTCTTTTCTGACGTAGCCTACTCCAGTTCTTGTTAAAACACATTAGACATGCAAATTCTGTGCATTTTTGGGCACTTTTTGTGTGAAATCATATGTATTTTCTCCATCAAAAGTGTGCTTTGCTTTCACTTTAAATGTCGTGAGTAGCACAACAATAGACTCGGCGCCGAACCCCCGCTTCACTGCTGCTCACGCGACGCTCCTCCTCGCGGTGTGAATGCACTCATTGATTAACATGCAAGCCGAAAAAAATACGCGCTGCTCACGCTTGCGGTGGCCGCGATCAGCTCCGGTAGCCGGTTCGCAGCCGTAACGTGCCGCAGATGTGTGCAAATAAGGGGTTAAACGGCCGTCACGCTTTTTCTGTCAGTAGAGTACCGGCTACATGCGAGAAGTAGCGGTACGCAAGAAAAAGTGCAGGTACGCTTGAGAGTAAATTGTAGAAGTGCCGGTACTGCATACCGGTGAGTACCGCCCCACTTCGAGCACTGTGAGAGGCTAATCTGGTTACTTCATTTTTACTCTATGCACATCAAATGCATAGTTCGGAGTGAAAAATATACAAATATTTGAATGAGCAGTACTGTATGGTTTCATGTATTTGTCCTGTTTTTGATTGTAAAGCTCTTTGAGCTTGGGAAAAGCGCAATATACCGTAAATGAAACGTATTATATATTTATTATTGGGTGTGGCAAAAAGTTAGTTTTGAACCTTGGTAACAGGTATTCACGAAATAAAACAACACTCACCTCCTTCGCTATCAGTCTCATCTGTAACATAGATACACAATTTATGTTATAATTTAAGACGAATCACATAAAACAACATCTGATGAGCTGCTGTGATTTTTATAATGGTGTTAAAAATTCTAAGGCTGTGACAGTTTTAATAATCTTACATTAATCAGTTTGTTTAGACTGGTTTTGTAAAAAATTTATTTCATGCGTTGAGACTCGAAACAACTAAACAGATCAAGTTGGATATTACCAAAACACCAATGCACTGCACATCAATAATTAATAGGGTCTGTTAAGGAAGACATGTTTAGTACCTTGACCTCTTGTTTTGGGCCACCGCCTCTGTCCTTTAGCCGATGAGGGCCTTGGCATCCGGGAAGGACTCTCAGCCTGAAAGGAATGAGGAAAGACATTCATTTTCATGTATTATCACTAGGAGTTTTGATATCACTCAAGACACCTGAGCCTTCTTTCTTTACAAACCCTCTAAGAAAAAAATCTTCTGGGCTGTTGTTGCAGACATGAAACATTATTATAGGCGGAAACAGATTCACTTGGGACAAAGAGAAATTACCTGGATTTCAGAGAAATCTGTAGGCTGAATGAAGACAAAACACAACGCAACAGAGATCCTTAAGACTTTCACATTTACGTTTATAGTACACTTGCTTTAAACAGCTGCACCACTAGCCAAAACAAAAAAAGCTCACTACTCCAAATGAGAAGCTACAGAAGCTGCAAAGACACATAGACGTGGAGCAACATGGCGACAGAGCAAAATTTGAGGTTAATTTACTCATCCCTCAGGCCATTTTGGATTTTTAGTTGAAACCGTGGTCCTTGGTAATGCAAGCACCGAGCTTCCAGTTGCATAATGACGTATGCGCGTGAGCTCAAACGTTGGGTATCTGTGAAAAGTCAATTTTCCCAATCGAGATTGCGCAAGTAAACGTAATCTTTTAAAAAAAACTTTTACATAGGTTTCAGCAACCAGGATAGGCACATGTGTCCTCCCTCTCTGTTGTATACAAACAGAGCTTGTGCTCCAGACTTCCATGAATGTGCTCAGGACCGTTTACCCAGGCTGTTGATTACAGGTAATAATGTTGTAAATAATGTTCAGTTTCTTGCACAAACCGATCGTTTTATAAGACCTCAATGTATCACCAGGAGCCACAGGTATTCATTTTGTTTTGCCTGTAATGTTTGTTTTAATTTACTCTCAAAGTGACAGTAGCCATTGACTTGCATTATATGAATCAACAAGGACTACGGGTTCAGCTAAAAATCTTCTTTAGTTTTCTACTGAAGAAAAAAAAAAAGACACCTACATCTTGGATGGCCTGATGGGGAGTAAAATAACAGCAAATTTTCCTTTTTGGGTGATCTATCCCTTTAAAAACAAACTTAAAAGCATGTGATGCATTGTTTATTTTTGTTATTTCTAGCAATTTATGTGTAAATACAAATGTACTTGTATTTATTTTGCATTTTGCCACACTAGAAAAAACCCCCAGTTCAAACACTTTTCTATTGAATTCTTGGTAACACTTTAGTTTAGGGTCCAATTCTCACTATTAACTAGTTGCTTTTTAGCTTGCGTATTACTAGGATATTGGCTGTTTATTAGTACTTATAAAGCACATATTAATGCCCTATTCTGCATGACCATTTTATACATCCTAAATCCTATCCATTAACTGAACTTAACAACTACCTTATTAACTATGAATAAGCAGTAATTAGGAGTTTATTGAGTCAAAAGTCAGAGTTAATAGTTAGTTATTAGTGAGAATTTGGATGCCAAACTAAAGTGTGATCGAATTGTTTGTTGATTGAATTAATTACTATTTGACATTGGTCCATTATACATGTTAAATGCGGCTTCTGTGTATAAAAGGCAGGAGGGTCCATACATTTATGAATTTATGCCTGATAATGGTCATATTAAAATATAAACACTTAAAGGCGTCATATAATGCCATTTTTGTACAAGTTAATATGAATGTTTAGGGTCTAAATGAAAACTTTGTAATATACTTTAATTAAAAATTCTCATTAGTATTTTAAGAAAACACTAATTTTACCTGGTCAAAAACAGCTCTGTTTTCAGCACGCCGTTTCAGTGCATATGCCTTTAAATGATAATGAGCTTCGCTCACTCCGCCCCTCTGTTCTGCGGGCGTTTAGACACAACACACGTGGAGTGTTGCCTTGACAACAGTTGAGGGTATATTTTGGAGAGAGAATGGCAGCGGGAGTCTCTGAGGACACATCTGTGCAATCGTATCAGTTTGAACCGGAGTCGGACCCGGAACAAGATGACGGCCAGAAGAAGTTCGACAATTAAGGCTCGAACAGGACGTTTCTGAATGGCTGGTTAACGTAATGTCATTTTGATTTATTTTTGTATGTACTGGCAGGGTAGAGTAGTGAGATACGAACGCTGTGTGTTTACTGATGTATACGTTAGTTCATTGACAGATTGAAGTTAGAACTAATGGACATGAAAAAAACTTTTTTCGCGATTTGCAAAGATTAATATAAAGGTTAATAAAATTTTACACTCACTTCTTCTGGAGGTGCAGAGGGAACATAAATAGTTGGTACCGAATCTTTTTTCAGGAGCAGCTTCTTAGCAAAACCAGCTCATACTGACCCTCGTTTATAAAGCAGTCTGGTGAGAAATGATTCGTGCAAACATGAACGCATTGACGTTGATCGTGGGGAATATTCCCTTCCAAAACAAAACTCAGCCACTGCGTCTTCAGCGGTTTGGATTTAGGAAGATCAAAATGACTGTGTTCGTTATTACACCCAAGAACAGAACACCACAATCGCTTAGACGCCATTCTGCTCCAGCGTATCAACAATGACGGACTATGATGACAGCTCGCTCAGGGCGGGTCTGTGTTGAAACGCTGCTGTCAATCAACAATCGTGGGAGGGGCGTCCGATTTAGTGACGTCACACGGTCGAACAGCTCAATTTGAGGCAGGGGAAAACATATAAGGAGATTAAAACAAAAACACTGGATGGATTTTTGTCATTATATGATGGTTGTGGACAGGCACTGCCAACACACATTTCAGTACAATCAACTTGTAAAAGTGCATGTACCATTATATGACCCCTTAAAGAAAATTATTGAGCTGAAAAAAATCTTCAAAAGAAACGTTAATATTTTTTAATATACCTGCTTCTCATATACAGTACACTACCATTTAAAAGACTGGGATCAGTAAGATTTAAACAAAATCAATACTTTTATTCAACAAGAATGCATTAAATTGATCAAAAGTGAATTGTGACTGTTAAAAGAAAATGTATTACACAAAACTATTAGCCTATGCAGCCTTGGTGAGTACGAGAGACTTCTTTCAAAAACATTTAAAGAATCTTACCAACCTCAAACTTTTGCCTCAAGACCAGAGATGGCTCAGCCTGGGCAGCAGAAAAAATCCTAATTGCCGAGGCCTGATAAGAAAATCATTGCCCCACCAAGACTGTCATTGTGCAATTCTAACTATGCAAAACACCTATTATTCCGCAGCAAAGCAGGCACTGAAATCACAACAGACTCGTACCTCTAGTTCACCGCCCTCCGCCTCCAATTCAGAGGAACAAAGAAAAGAATAAAGAACTATGAGGAACATTACGTCAACAAGCCTCATTGACGACCCATTCCTAGTAGAACAAATGTAAAGGGCGTAAGCAGAGTAAACCACAGGATTGTGAGCCAGTGATCAATCTTACCTCTTCTGCTTCAGCTTCATGTGTTTTACTTGCGATCTCTGGGTTAGGCTTTGACTTGCTGATCTCTGCTGCCTTGATCTATGGAAAAAGTCAAATTATTATAGTGTATTAAAAGCAGAGAAAGACTTCTTCACAAGTGTAAAAGCACAGAAATTTGCTTTGAGGTCTAGAAATATTTAAATATAATAATATATAATATATATATAATATAATAAAATAAATCTAATATATATATATATATATATATATATTAGATGTAAATATTTCGTCACTTTTCTTTGTTAAAATTTTCATAATCCTAAAACTGCACTTCTAGGTTTAAATGGGAATTTAAGAGCAAGAGTTTCTTTATCTGAATTAGACAAAAAAAAAAAAGGCTGGTAAAATTGGTCATTCATCTGCCACTGTTGCTGGTGTACAAACAAAGCTACAGAGTCATAAAATCTGGTGAGCAAACCTTTCTATCGGCTCTATCCTTCAGCTTCTCCTCTTTGTCTTTTTCTCTCTCCCTTCGTTTCTCACGCTCGCGATCTCTCTCCTTGTCTCGTTCTCTATCTCTGTCTTTGTGAGATTCCCGTTCTCTTTTCTTATCCCTTTCTTTATCTCGCTCCTTCTCCTTCTCCTTGTTGCGGTCCTTCTCCTTCTCTCGCTCACGTTCCTTCTCTCTGGTCTTGTCTTTCTCCCGATCCCGGCTCTTGTCCTTGTCTCTGTCTTTTGTCCGGTCTCTTTCGCGCCCCTTGTCAGACCTCTCTGCATCTTGTCGGCGGTCCTTGTCGTCCCTCTTGCTCTCGGGATCTTTCGGTTGATCTGGATCTTTCTGCTCTCTGCTTCTACTGCTCTCCTTAATGCCATTCCTCTCCTGAACAACAGCCAGAGACAACATTAGATTTTCACTTTCATAGCAATAAACAAAACAAGTAAGGGATAATGTATAGGAAACTGGTCATTAATGCTAAAATAACCCTTACAGCTTCATCAGGACCCAAATGCAAAATGTTATTATAATTCCAGAATTAACGAGTGAAAGAAAAAGACATAACAGAAACGCCCAAGTTGAGGATGAATGAATTGTGATTGAAGACAACAGAAAATTCTGTTTTGGCTGAAAATGTCACTGGGTCAAAGCGTCAAGCGGGTCTCACCTCTCGGTCTCGGTGGCGCTCCCTGCCCTCTCTGTTCTCCTTGTCCTGGGATCTGGAGGTGCTGGGCTTCCCCTTCTGATCCAGCTTGTCTCCTGCTAACACCCGCTTTACAGCCTCGTCACTGGAGAGCTAGAACAAGGACAGGATACGCTGTTTAACAACAACTTGACATAATGAACACAAGTCCCAAGCAACACTCTGCATGCTCTTAAACCAATTTCATTTGACGGTAGCCATTGACTTCCATAGTATTTTTTTCCTACTATGGAAGTCAATGGCTACCGTCAACTGGCTACCAACATTCTTTAAAATAACTTATTTTGTGTTCAACAGAAGAAAGAAACTCATACATATTTGAAACAACATGAGGGTGAGTAATTGACAAACAATTCTTAAGAAACATGTGTTTACTACAAAACTAGTATTGTGGGTGATCAAAGTGTTGTACAGTATTATTTACTCATTGTGTTATATTAATATTATATTTATTCATATTCTCATCTTTCATTTTATTTTAGTTTTAATAATTTTGTCTTTTTTATGCATTTTTTAAATATTTCTATTTAGATTTGATTTATTTATTTCAGTTTTATTTCAATTAAACAATATAAATATACTGATGTTGCTCTGATTGTGTTGATTTACAGTTGTTTAGGTGTTTGGGGTAGGTGCGAGGTGGTTACTAGTGTATTCTGGATGCTAAATAGTGAAAAGTCAAAAGAGCCCTCAGGTCGCTTCTTCAACGCAAGTCTATGGGATTATTTATTTTGCAGAAATTATTTAACTTTATTATCCACCTGCTGAAAAACTGTGTAATTGAAAATGAACAGCAGATCTCCTCAACAAACCGCACAGTTTGGGTATCATTTATGTCCATACATAGCACAGAGAATGTGGTATGAGTTACACAGTGAAGTTTGATACCTATATTTAAGGGTTAATAAACAAAATTGCCATAAAAGAAGTTGAATGTACACAAACTTGACAGAAGGAAAGGAAAGGAAAGAATAACTTTCAGTTCGTTTCTCACAGAAAGCTAAAATAAGTATCCCAGACTTTAAATATAGCACACAGTTACACACAGGACTACTATATGATAATTGTATGGGTTTTTTTCCCCCCCTCTTGGAGCTTGTCAGCCCCATGTCATTACATAGATAAACATTTTACCCAAAATACATCCTTTGGGGTTCCACAGAAAAAAGAAATTAGTAGCTAAATGATGATCACCAATTTCAACTGAAGTTTCCATTCAAAGTTACCTACAATCATCCTGGAGCAACATGAGGTCAAATGTTTAGCTCAAAGACATGTATAAAATATGCCAGTGTGCTGTGGAGCAGAAGAACTGTCATTTAGCCCATTGTTCACACCTACTCTTCGCCCTGCAGGCATCAGTGGGTTCCCCTGATAATGCTGATGGCAATGTTCCATCGCTCCTTAACCTTCAGAAAAGCTCTAGGGTGCAATTAAATGAATACATGTATAAATTACCCCCTGCTTGGACATATTAGTCTTGAGTCATTCACTAGTTAAATGGCTTTGAGCGAATCCTGCAGGACAGAAGTACAGTAGCTGAGTGGTCTTTAATCGCAGGACTGACCTTGTTGAGACAGCATTTAGCAATGACCTGCAGCAGCTCGTTGGTTTTCTCTGGTTCATGTCCGGCTACGATCCGAGCAGGTTTGGCAGCTAAGGGCTCTCCACTGACTAGCATCACCACATCGATGGCCTTCTGGAGGAACGCAATTTTTGAGTCTTTGTCCTGCAGGGTACATGAAGAGAACTGAGAAGGTGAAACAGAACTGCAAGCATAATGTTTGTCTGTTTTTAAACACAGCCCCAGTCTTCTATTGTTTAAACATGTAGTTCCAAAACACACACTCCACTGGTAAGGTTAGATAAGCCAAGGTTGTCATTGCTAGCACAGTTGGGGCAATTCAACAAACAGATTGCAATTTGTTTGGGGCAACCAATGGTGCAGAGAATACACATTGGACAGATCTTTAGAGGTTGTGTTTTCAGCCTTTACAGACCCATGGTCACCTATAGAAACTAGATAGCCTAGCCAAATAACTAGCCAATCCAGGGACACTCAATAGAAAAACAATAATTTACTTTCATTAATAGCATTAATTAATAGCACTAATAAACATTCTTTAATGCCGATCATAATTGGACCATATAAACTTATTCAAATAAATGTAAATAATCTTAAACATTTAGAAGACCATTTTGAAAGATTTGAGATTGAAAATCAAAAATTGATCTGTAACTTTATCTTATCATGTAAATCATCTGTGGTGTCAGTCTCATTCAGTAAACATTTCATAAAACATGCGTGCCACACTTTCTGACAGATATTGGTATAGGATCCCTGATTAAATGTTGCAAATATGTCAAGAAAATAATAACACTTTTTTTTCTAATTCAATGAAATGAAAATTTTAGCTTAGTTACTTTAGGCTTAGACTTAATTGCACTGTACACAAATAACCTAAAGTTATTCTGATGCTTTAAAAACAAAACAGTACATACATCATCACCGACAGCTTGATAATGCGTCCGACTACTCCATTAAACACTCTTTTACTGTATTTCTGCTTTGCTGGTTATGATGAAGTGCAACTGTCCGTATTGCCATTTAATTATTTCATACATCATGAAGTTTCTAATGAGGCCCCAGCGGCAGAACAACCTGTATGCTGATGTAATCTGTTATGATTTTACACATTCAGCAGCATTTAATATCCAACTACTGGCTACACAATATCCATGCGATCAAAATGTTTCACAAGGCTAATCAGTGAACAGGGCGAATTTCATGAAAACATGGTTATGCCATATACATTTCAAGACAAAATAAAGAAATATATTTAGCATAAAACAAAGCCTGTTTCAGGACCATTAAGATTTTGTGCATTATGGCATTAAACCTAATGACATTAAGCAAGTTTTACCTTCAGATTTTCATTTGGTTCAGATACTGAATATTTTGAGAATTCCCATTATTCTCAATGGTGACACTTATTTGCTTCTCATTAACATTATACAATGATTTTTTTTATTTAATTTAAATCACACATATATATTGTAATATTTTCAGTTCATGTTATATATATATATATATATATATATATATATATATATTTCATACATGTTATATATTTATTTTTTTCAGTTCATGTTATATATTTATATATATATATATATATATATTCACAAATTGTCATGAAAATATCACAAGGCGAAGGAAAAAATGTGTTTTATTTTCTGTGTAATTTTTTCCCCGAGTTAAAATGCTTTCTTCTATCCCAGTTAATAGACAGCTAGAAGTTGCTATATGTCAGTAGATTCCCCTGAAAAGTGTTAAAACTGTGGCGCTCTCAAAACATTATAATGTCATGGTATCCCGTAGGGCTGGACTGCTTCACACAGGTGTGGGGAGATCATTTATTATGCATGCTGGGACATCAAAGGTCATTTAGACTGACCAGCATTTGGAGAAGGATCAGACGTGAACTCCTCACTTTGCACACAGAGTGATGTGGTAGGCTAGTCACCTGCCTCTCTAACAGGGTCACAGTGATACTGATCAAGTAAAGCTAGTTAAAGACCAGGGCTCGACATAAGCAATGGCCCGATGGCCCGGGGCCAGTAAAAGAGTATGTCGGGCTAGTTGATTGGCCAGTCACTGGCCCGCGCGGGCCAGTGAATGGCCATCAGCAAAACAAACAGCAAACGTCATATACAGTGGCGCGAAGAGTGTCAATGTTACTTCAGGTAATAACGTGTTAAAATGTCAAAGAACTACGAGTCTGATACGAGAAAGAGGACATTCCTATAGGGCTGGGTGGTAAATCGAGTTTGTACAATATATCGACTTTTTTTAAACGATATGGAATGAGGCAATACTGATGTCGATACAGTAGTTTGATACGAGCACATCTGAAAAATAGCGGAGTATAGCCTACGCAGTGTGAGCTCCTGCAGTGAAAAACATAGTACAATTTGTCCTAAACATGACACAAGCTTATATTAAGCACTTCAAAATAACTGGTAAGATATAGTTAACAAGTTTAAAGCAGCTTGCCCTGTCAGATGCTCTGACAGATACTGTTGCTGACTGACAGATAAATACTGGCGCTGTTTAATGCGTTTGAGACGTGGTGCTTTCCTCAGTGCTTAACTTACATTTTAGAGGTATATTCTCCATCTGTAAATGTTAGAAAGTCAAACAAATATGTCCATTTCACTGTCAGGAGAGGACGAGCTTCTGCAAGTGAATCTCCGCTAATATTCAAGCTTCCGTGAATGAGCGCCGCCGCGAGCACGCGCGCCTAACAGACGAGCACAATAAAGAGTAGCGCAATAATTCTGACTAAAATATACATCTTGCTAAAATATTTGTTGTTGGAGACAATAAATGTGCCATATGTGGAATTGTAAACCTACAAGTAGGCCTATGTTTTTATGAAAGTGAGCATTATAACGGGGTAATCAAATGCAGGCTATAATTAGTTGTGCTTTTGTTTTTATTTTCATTTTTAGTTTAGCCTTAGTCATTTTAAAAACAAAAGCATTATTTTTGTTTTTAGATTGTAATGTTAGAATGTAATGTGATTTTAACCTTTTTGCACGTAATATATTGCATAGCCTACATTACATTCACTATATTTGTTTCCATATCCTTCAATATCAACATTGTTTGGATATCATTAAGCAGGATGTGAAATATTTGTTTTTAAATAAATACAGATTTTCTTTATCCAAATAGAAAAACGTAGAAAGTACCGAGATATATATCGTACATCGCCATTTAACCAAAAAATACCGAGATATGATTTTTTTGGCCATATCGCCCAGTCCTAATTCCTAGTGTCATGGAAAACGCAGTACACCTGGGTGGAGAAAGGCGAATGAGGGCATGTACTGTTTCGTTTGCCGGAAATTTACAACAAAAGCCGACCAAAATGCAAAATGCATAACCGGCCTGCCGAGTGCTGACGGGCTATCTAAAAATAGTGTAATCAAATTCCCCCCTAAACTTCTGCCTATAGCCGCCCTAAAAATGTGTGATTAAGTGTAAGCTATACACAAATTTGTGTTCGCTTCAGTCTTGTTATAATCAGATTCAGCGCGTTCTTCATTTTTTCTTCATTGACAGTTTTTTAGGTCATAAATGTTAAACGTATGACAAAAATAATCAGGCAAACTAATATACTTTTGTCTAATTTCGCCATTTTGAAGTGAAAATATAGCCTATGTAACTCATCACTCATGTAATGTAATAATTAGTTTACTGTCATTGTGAGGGGCCAAGAAAAATTAATCCTAATGTATACAATAAATACAGTTTAATGTAAAAGTGCTTTTCATTCTATTTCTTTCAGGGCCAGTAAAAATATAGAAGGGGCCAGCAAAACTCTGATCTACTGGCCCTGGGGGCCAGTGGGGATTTTTTTTTATGTTGAGCCCTGTAAAGACACAAAGCTTTTAACAGGTAGATTTATCACACCTCATGGATCACCACGACGTGGAACTTTGGCACGCTAATTAAATGGAGAGTCTTGAGTTACACTCAGTTATCTGATCAATGTCAACACCTGAACAGCAAAAAAAACACAGTCTGAGATACTGCGGCTATAGAATCCAAGAACACTTAATGAGGCAGGAGATCAGACAGATAGAGAGAGACAGGTCAGTTGTAACACTGCTGAGTAGGTGGATTAATTGGCGACTTCGAGGAACATAAAACTGTCATATCATATGATTTAAAGAAGTACTGGAATGAGCAAGAATAAGTGTCTGGTTTGCACATATACGTACATACACACACATATAAAGCCTAAAATTCCTCTTAAGGCCAATTCACACTGCACCGACAGACAGCAATGGACACTCTCGGGTTTTGTCATCTGATCAGTGTGTCGACATCTGTTGGAGTTTTTTTGTCACGCTCGTTTTAGCTGAATGGACATGTTCAATCGCTGTTTGTCGGGTCGTGGCATGTCTGAGAAGTGACGTACGTCTGTCGCCGTCTCTTGATGCGGTGTGAATTGGCTTTTAAAGGTGTTGGATTTAACATTAGGATTTGACAAATATGATTCAAGTTACTGTTAAAAAGTTGGTAAGATCTTGGTTAAGAGTATTTTATGCTCACCAAGGGTACATTTATTTTATCAAAAATACAGAAACAATATTGTAAAGTATTATTACAATTTATATATTTTAATATATTATAAAATGTAATTTAATCCTGTGATGACAAAACAGAATTTTAAACAGCCATTACTCCAGTCTTTAGTGTCACCTTTAGAAATCATTATCATATATGCCTATTAGGGGTGGGGGGAAAAATCGATTCTTAGATGCATCGCGATGCGGATGTGGACGATTCTGAATCGATTCACAATTGTCAAAAATCGATTTTCAAAAAAAAAAAAAAAAATTTAGATATATATTTATAATAACGTAATATTGACGGAACGCGAAAGACGGAACTCTGAAGCGCGGAAGTGCAGTGGCCGGACCGTCTGTGGCGTGCACATAACAGACGCGGACGCGATGGCTGAGCGCCAAATCCAAACACCCTCCTCGTTAAAAGCTGACGTGTGGAAATATTTTGGCTTCTGAAGTTGAAGGGGGAAAGGAGCTGGACAAGAGCCACACTAGTTGTAAGCTTTGTAGAGTAAAACTAAAATATTTCGGAAACAAGACACTTATGAGAAGCCATATGACACGTTTCCAGCCAGAGGAGGAAAAACACTCGGCTGTAACGTTACCGGTCGTTGTTATATTATTAATTTACTACAAATATGCTGCTGCTAGTTCAGACACACATGTATTTTCCTGTTGGTTCTTTGCAATGTTAATAAAATATATTGTACGTTAATTCTTTATGGGTCATTACTTTGTACTTTTAAAGCAAAGTATTTATAGTCACACACACACAAAAAAAAGATTCTGATAATCGATTTAGCATCGAATCGCAGCCCTCTGAATCGTAATCGAATCGAATCGTGAGGTGCCTAGAGATTCCCACCCCTAATGCCTATATTGTTTTTATAGTATATGCCTATATGATGCTCAAGAAAAAAAATCTTATTATTATCAATGTTTAAAACAGTTGTGCTTGTGCACCTTAATATTTTTGTGGAAACTGTGACACTGTGTCTTCTGTAACATTATGTCTTGTATAAAAGTCACTTTTGATCAATGTAATGCATCCTTGCTGAATAAAAGCATTTATTTCATTCAAAAAACAAAATCACCTCAAACTTTTGAATGGTAGTCTGTCAAACACAACACCACTGGGACAAAGACGATCCAACCAAATATAACTTACGAAAACTGTGCACCTAAACATTCCTTTAAAAGTGGACACATTCTTACTGGTGTTTTACCTTCACATTGTCTGACTTCATCTCTGCTTCTCCATAAAGTCCTTTCATAAAGCCTGTGGTACGTATTACCTAAACAAATGGGTAAACAAAATATTAAATCCAGCTTCATAATTCAAAAATCTAAAGACATACACTGTTTCAAAACCTAGTAAGCTGCTGTTATTGTCTACTGTCTGAAATAGAACCTCATAAGTCATTGATTTGGAACACTCTACGTAGACAGCAACTCAAAGCGCTACACAGGCAGCTCACTAGGTTTAGGAAGAAAGTTATCATTACCTTTGTAAATTGTTCACATTAATGAAAACATAATGATGGAGAAACGATTTACAAATACATTGTACTATGACAAGCAATGGCATGACTCATATGAGGAGAGTATGCATACCAATTGGGCTACTTTTACACTGTTGCCACAGGTAGTTTTGTAGTTCGCAGGTTGAAGTGATTGGGCGGGTTTTGTTGTGCAGACCTGGCAACCCTGATGCATACAGTAGACAGACGGTGTGACCTTTAGGGTGATTCTCTCTGTATAGCTAATTTTAGCTGAGCTTACAACCCACAGGCTACAAATACACCAACTTCATCCTTAACTGTCCTCTTCCTTTACCTAATACCGTCTAGATACAGGTGTAAATAGGGTTTAAAACGTTTTGCGCTTGTCCACTTCCAGAAGTAGTCGAAAACGCATTCGACCAAATTGCTTTAGTAGTGTAGACGGCGCTCATGTGATCAAATGTGATTGAACAGCCGCAAAACACTGCCTACTCGACGCCTACTGACCTAATGCGTAAACATTATGGAAAGCACAATAGCCAGACGGGATTTAAACTTTGTTGGCTGGAGACCCAAGTTTGATTTGAAGACGAAAAACGTACCAAGTACAATGTTCTCTCACCATTCCTGGTTTCTAACACTCACTCACCGTGTTTGGCATGGTCTTGCGGCTGTCAGAGCAGAAACAAATGTTTTCTCTGGTCGTGTTCATATGTAAATTGCATGAGCTTATTTTGTCCATTAGATCGAAAGATCTGAAAAGCCCATACATAGACCCTCCCCTCGAAGAAATCAGGACAGAAGGGGTTGAAAGTGGACAAAAAAGATGGATTAAAACACCAGGGGCCCTATTTTAACGATCTGAAACGCAAGTGTCAAAGCGCAAAGCGCAAGTAACTTTGTGGGCGGATCCCGGCGCTGTTGCTATTTTCCCGGCGGGATAAATGCCTCTTGCGCCTGGCGCAAATCTAAAAGGGGTTGGTCTGAAGTAGCTTCATTATTCATAGGTGTGGTTTGGGCGTAACGTGAAATAAACCAATCAGAGCGTCATCTCACATTCCCTTTAAGAGCAGGCGCGCTTGTTTTAAAGCGGATTCCTATTATAACGGCGGATTTGCCAGGCGCGCGCCAGGAGCGGTTCACAGCCGAGGAGAGCAACGTTCTCGTCAGGGCCGTAAAACACAGAGAAGTGACATTGGGGATGGAGAAACCCACCCAAATTAACTTCTGTTAAACAGGCGTATGATAATTTGGGTAAATGTGTAAGCTACATGTATGCTTTTATAATAAATTGTCTATCTATCTTATCTATCGTAATAATGTATGATTTGCAAAAATGAAAACTGCTGCTTAGATGAGAGAATCAAAGTGTATGCGCGTTGTGCACATGCTACATTGATTATGGTCAAGCATGCGCCCTTAAAATAGCATAATGAACAACGCGCAACGCGCCACTGACTTTAGACTAGTTTTTTTCTGGTCAGTGGCGCATTTGTTTTATAGAACAGCAAAATAGCATGAGGGAAAGTTTGCGCCGGAACACGCCTCCTCTTTGCGCTGAACCGCCCCGGGGAGCGCAAGTGTATTTCTTAGTTAACCGACGTGTGTCTGTGGAGGGAAAAGCCCGCTTTGCGCGGGTGCAAAATAGGAATGATACATGCGTCAGTGTACAAAGTCATTTGCGCCGAGTGCAAGATAGGGCCCCTAGTGTAAATGGGAATGTGTCTCCCTCGTCTACTTGTGATCCGATCAACCAAAACGAATCTTAATACCAGGTGAAAACAGGGCCCTAGAATGCACCTCATGAAGTTACTTGATAGAATGAACAGAGTGTGTAGAGCTGAAGATCAAATATAAGATAGATTGATTTGTTTACCATATTTTGGTCACTAAATAATGTATGTTATTTTATAGTTTACCACTTTACTATCATTCTAAAAATTGAAAAACAGCTGTAATAAAAATAAGTAGGTGCGTCAGTAGAGATTGACCAACATTTTATTTGACCAATTTAGTGTGTCTCTACAGAACAGCACTCAGCGATACTAAAGAGGGTGTGGTATAAACTGCATATCGTCATATCGTCCAGCCATAAAACTTGTTCTTAGTGTTTATTTAAAAACATCCAATTATGCTAAATATATACAATGGTAAATATTTAATTGTTGAGTTGTCGATACAATAACAATACAATAAAGAGGGTATGATTTTACCCAATTCAGCATATTGACACAAAATGACAACTGCAAATCCACGTTTCGCTGCCTGTTGTCCAAGAATTGTTTCTATGAATTGCAGTGATCCATTTGCTTCTCTGTTATGTAGCTTTTGGCAGTCTGTAAAAATATACCTCTGATTTCTTGTCAAATCTATTTATCCAGTCAATCTCAAAGCTCTTTCCCGTTTTAGATGTGTTTTGTGTGTTTTTCGCATCATTCACGCTGAAAACCAATGCTGCCATTTAGTCTTTTTGCCACTCAGTGGGTGTAACCGCAGTCACTCCGGCCGACGGTGACGTCAAGCGCATACCCTGTCGGTACCACTGTCGGTACATCAGGAAACAATTGTACTCACAGGTGAAGTAGCTTACTTATATTTTCTGTATATAATTTGATCAACTAAATGTGACATCTATTTATTATAAATAGACATTCAAATATATTCATTTAATAGTACATGTATTAAATAAAACTAAACCAAACAAGAATAAATAAAATGACATGACAATTAAATAACTTCTAAATACAATTGAATTATTTTAAAAATGCACATATTTCTGATTTGCTATTTTAATTCAGTGTGCATGGCATGTAACAGGGCACTCTGGTTTACTTCAAATGAACAACCTTTGGATGATGGTGTTTGTTGGCAATTGCTGCCATTTATTGGGGGCATATCATTTCATTAACTAAATGTGGTATATACTCCTAATTACAAAATCATCACCACAATTGGTTCCAGATATTCTGCCATAAGATTTAGAAGTACATCTCTGTGTTATGATATCTCATGAATATGTCAAGATCATCTGCATTCATGATGTTGTGTGGACCCTTGAGTTTTGTTTGCATAACCATGTGGACAGAGCAATGCCTAGTAACAAGATAATCAGCTCAACCAGAGCTGAGTATGTAATAACAGTAAACCAAAACTGATTTTAAAAGAAAGATGATATTGCTGACATTGTTTTAAACAGTTATTGGTATTAATAATCTATTAGCTTGCTCACCACCATCAAAACACAAAAATAATCTAATAAAGACTAATGCAAAGCTCTGGGCGTTCAAATATCAAAGCTAATATGAGATGTTTACACCTTCATTCTGATCTAACGTTACTATGATTTATCTGTGAAGACTATGCGCAGGCTACATTAGCAGGCTAGCACGTTGAGATCTATATCCAGGATTTGAACCGTGTAAATGTGAATATGTAGATAGCGAGGGAACTAAAACAGCACTTATGTCATAATAATAATGTTTTTAGCAACTCACCTCACTGAAGATGTCGTGCAGGTATCGAAACGGCGGTTTGCTGAGCAGTTTTTCTGTCAGAGGAGGCTTTTTGATCACTTTTCCCAGAGCCTCCTGGGTCTTTTTGGCTACTGATTCGTTCATGGCCACAAACTAAACCAGTATTTTTGTGTGAACGAGGTTTCTTTAGTAATTAATCGCCGTTACTGTTCTGCTAGCAGCAGATTTCTGCTCGCTAAACTCTGCTGTTGCCGTGGCGATAGCTTTCTATCCCACAATCCTCCACTGTGCTGATCCTGCGCTTGCGCGGAACCTAGGCAGTCGTCAAAGGCTACAGGTGTCCATGACAACAACAAACAACAGTAGCTGTCTACTATTGTAACAAGTAACTGTAGCTGTCCACATTTATTGTTATATTATATTATATTATATTATATTATATTATATTATATTATATTATATTATATTATATTATATTATATTATATTATATTATATATTTTTTTTGGCAGGTCTCTCTTCTTGCTCCAGACCAAAACTGAAACAAATATCAGTGTTAAGTGCATGGTTAAGTGTCACAAACAGACCAGATGGAAAATAAATAAATACCTGATAATTCATTAACTAAATTACAATAAACACAGATATACAGATGTTGTTATTTTTAACTAATGTATTATTTATAAATACATTAGATAAACAAATGAATTATAGCCTGTAAAAAGATTAATTTAATAGTAAATCTACTTAATGAAAAAAAAAATAATAATAATTAAATAACTTAAATAAATACAATTAAATTATTTATGAATAATAATGATAATAACTTAAAAACAAAAACATTAATTTAAAAAATCAACACTTTTCTGACTTGCTATTTTTAATTTGATCAGTGTGCTGGTATTTAACCCCTTCATGCATGAATTATGATAATAAACACAGTCAAGATTTTTTCCCCCTATTTTTCCCCTCCCAATATTAAATCAATACGGATAATTTAACAATGATATGACTCCTTAGTTGTTACTTAATGCTACAACTTTTTTTTTTTACCTGCAAGAGTCTCCTGGGGTAGAAGGAATGAATTGATATTCCGGAGCAATTTGGCATTTCTGATTGGCCTTGGTTTGGAGAAGAAAAAAAAATCCCACATATAACAGCTTGCCTATGCTTGCCACCCTATGCTTGCCACTTGGTGGATATGGAATTTATGTAGCCCCGCCCCTTTTAAGCGCTGCGCTCGTTGTCTTTTGACTTCCGGTCTCTATTTTCACAGCGATCTTGCATATTTATGAATGAACGGCTCGTTTTAAAATCTTCCCGGTCGACTGACATTTGTTGAAGACATCTGCTTTAAACATTACAATCCTCATGATATCTTTTGTCAACTTTACATTAAGTAAATCCACTTTAAAAAGCTAATTACTCCTGGACAGCAATGCACAGAGCGACCGCGAAAACGGAAGTTCAAAGACAATATTCTAAAGCTGGCTGCGCCCTTGTTTCTCTGGTGCATAAGGTCTTATAGGACGATGCACTAGAGTCCACTATAGAGGTCGATGTGCAATGCCATCAAAACCCATTCATTCGCAAGAAAATGCTTTTTGAATAGCTGTCCACTGTAATGACCTCTATGCGTGAAAGGGTTCAAATGACCAACCGTTGGATGTTACTGTTTTTTGGCATTTGTTGGGGCAGTGTGAATTGAAAAATCCAGCTTAAGTTGGTGGATATGTTTTGGAATGTGGTGTTTTTGAAAATCAACCAGCAAATGACCAATCTGGACCAGCTAGAAACCATCTTAAGCTGTGTTTTTCAGCTGGGTAATCTTTAGATAGAAAGATGAGATCAAAAAAAGGCCTCAAATCATGTCAATACAAATACAGGATAATTATTAAGCACATAGGCTCCACCTAAAACTGACAGGTTTCTGAGATTGTTGCATAACTATATTCAAACCTCATACCTGGAAAAGAACATTATAGGAATGAGTGAAAGAATATTTTCTCTAATGAATTGACAAGAAAGCACAGAGATCTTTGGGTGAAAAAGAACTGTTTACAGATACTACACAATATAAAGATGTATATTGAGTTTCTGTGATTGGCTAAATAAACATGAGAGGAATCCTGTATTTTTCCTGTATGAAAAACCTGTTTGGGAGGTTGCACGAAGTGAGACTATAAAATGCTTGACATGCAACATGCTTGGAGAAAGGGCAGTAGCTCTGGTTCACCTGTTTCACTCCCGGTAGGTTCTCTTTTACTTGCAAATACTATTTTCTTAATTTCTTGAAATTATTTATTGTGTGCTATAAGACAGAATTAAGCTTAATCTAAATGTATTATCCACATATATAAAGGCTGGGTTGTTTGTTGGAGCACTGCTATGTACCTTATTAGTTTCACATAATACTCATTTGAAATGCTTGAATTTCTGTTTTATTTCCCTCCAAAATTGCCAGTATTAAAACCATGTTGTTTTAGAGAATACAAAACTGTAGTTACAATTCAAATGTCAAGGGAAATCTTTATGAAAAGAAGTTTACTTTCAATTCGTAAAAGCATTTTATTTTTTACAAATTTTATATTTTAGGGCAAATTTGTTGTTTAAAATATAAATTAGGTCTTATGAATATTGTCAAGTTAAATTATAAAACTGATAGTTTCTTAAATGAAAATGCTGTATTATATTCAAGTAAACATGTGTCTCTCATTAGAACAAAGTTTCAGAAGCACGTTTGTCCAGTTCAACAGCTCTTGTCGACTATTTAACATTATGCCATGCAATGTCGGTGGGCCCAACCTTAAAAACGAACTAATATTCAGAGCATTAGTCACCTTTGACTTCCTTTTTCTTCTCTCAGCGCATCAGTACACACCATAATCATGCAGCACTGGATGTTCTGTGTCTTATTTTTATTCTTTGTGTTCTGTGACGTCTCTACACAAAGGAAAAAAAAGACAGTCCAAACTCTTTCAAGAGGTATCAATTAATTACATATTCACAAACAGAACCAAATAAGTCAAATTTGTTCTTATACTATGGCAAATCGATCATAAAATAACATCCAATTCAAAGTGGTTTGTTTCTTTCAGGCTGGGGCGGTGACATCACCTGGGTTCAGACGTATGAGGAGGGACTGAATAAAGCGCATGTGAGGTACCTAAAGATTATGCAATCACATTAAACTCCACTCTCACTTGTATGTTATGAATAATCAGATTTTTAAACCACAATGAATCTGTTTTACCGTAGTAAGAAGCCACTGATGATCATTCATCATTTGGAGGATTGTCAGTACAGTAAAGGTTTGCATATTTGCATCTTTTTTTAAACTGTCTACATTATCTGTAATTAAATAAAAAACATAGATTATTTCCTTGTGCCGTATACATGTAAGTGTGCTTAAAGGGATAGTTCACCCCAAAATGAAAATTCTGTCAGTAATTACTCACCCTCATGTTGTTCCAACCCCGTAAGACTTTCGTTCATCTTCGGAACACAAATTAAGATATTTTTGATTAAATCTGAGAGCTGGATCACTCCTCCATAGGCTTCTAAAGGGATCGAAACAGGCCGGCTCAGAAAAGTTAAAGACATCGTTAAAATAGTCCAAGTGACTACAGTGGCTCAATCTTAAGTTTATCAAGCGACGAGAATACTTTTTGTGCGCAAAAAAACAAACAAAAATAACTTTCATTTCCTTCTCTGTGGGCCGTGAGATTTCACGTAGTGAAACTGCGCAAAGCTTCTGTGTTGCACGTCACACGCAGGCTCACTATTAAACGACGCTGGTCATGTGTGTGATGCATGTGACGTGCAACACAGAAGCTTTGCACTGTTAAACTACGTGAAATCTCACGGCCCACAGAGAAGGAAATGGAAGTCGTTATTTTTGTTTGTTTTTTTGCGCACAAAAAGTATTCTCGTCGCTTGATAAACTTAAGATTGAGCCACTGTAGTCACTTGGACTATTTTAACGATGTCTTTAACTTTTCTGAGCCGGCCAGTTTCGATCCCTTTAGAAGCCTATGGAGGAATGATCCAGCTCTCAGATTTAATCAAAAATATCTTAATTTGTGTTCCGAAGATGAACGAAAGTCTTACGGGGTTGGAACAACATGAGGGTGAGTAATTACTGACAGAATTTTCATTTTGGGGTGAACTATCCCTTTAAAGGAATATTTCTCCCAAAAAATTAAATTCCAAATTCTTACAATAAAGTAATGTGCACTGTTTCTTTAAATCAGGGGTTTTCATTTTTTAGTTGCCATGAACCATCCAAATATCATCATGCTTGTGCGAGGGACCCCTATGCAAAACTTAAAAGGCTGCTATATACATTCTTAGAAAGGTTCAGTGGAAATTGACTCGAATTCAAAGCACCCTTTATGCCAAAAAGGTTCTACATAAGGAGAAATGTCTTAAATGATTACATAATACTTGGATGTTTAATGGGTTATTTCAGTTTTATCTAGTGGTAAAGTATGTTTACGAGCTGTTTAATTAATAATGTAATAAAAAAAAAAAATTATTACAATAATAATTAATTAAAACTAAATCATAAAATGATCCCATAATGGGAACCCTTAAAAGGTTCTATATATGAAGCGCCCGAAAGAACATCTAGGTTACTAATGTAACCCCCATTCCCTGAAGGAGGGAATAGAGACGTTACGTCGGACTGACATCATGGGGTCTCGCCTGGGAGCCCAATCACCTCCAAGTGGTAATTAAACGAGCCAATGAACATTGGCCAGTGAGATTTGCATGCCGAGTTACACCGACCTGGACATACGGGTATAAATAGGACCGGCATTACTCACTTCATTCATGTTTGCTGGGGAGCCAAAACAGTATCCAGGCCATTCAGCGATGGTTCAGGGCTGTGGCAGGGGGGACGTAACGTCTCCTTTCCCTCCTTCAGGGAACGGGGGTTACATCAGTAACCTAGACATTCCCATTCAGTCAGTCACGTTCAATGTTACGTCAGACTGACGTCATGGGTTCCCAATGGAAAATGCCATAGACACTGAACTGTGTTACGAGTGTTGGAGATGCAGATGCTGGATGGCAAGCTACAGCGTGCCCTTTTGGCAACTGCTCCCACAATGTCATAACCTACCCAGCGCCCCAAGTAAGCCCGCGGGGTAGTCCTCCATACCAAATGGGATGGAAGGGACAGGACTTACTCTGTGGGCAATAGTAGCTGCTGTTCCTTTAACCCACGGGGCAGTGCTACATATGGAAGATCTCTGCGGTATAGGTCCTACCTAACCAGGGAGAGATGGGCATAGCAGAACTGTCCAGGGAAAGACAAGGGTTACCGACAGGGAAACCGTATCGTGGAAAATACATATATGGGATTACCGAGGGGGTAATCACATCATCTAGTCCAGTACAAGGGCTGACCGGCAGAGCATGCACACAAGTACTGGGCCTGGTGTCAGACTCCTCCGCCGCATCTGACTGCCGAAGGATGCTGGATGAACTCGATTCAGGGTTTGCCAAGCAGGGAACTCACCTGAAGAGCAAGCAGGCGCTCGTATCCCCCTTTACGGGGGAATGGCACTGTAAGCGAGACACCGAGCCAGCCTTTAAACATAACCTGTTTGTACCAAACACATATGAAGAGACGTCACCACTCAGAGATTGTAGAATCTCGCGAATGTAGAATCTCGCGAATGTGTTAGGTGTCGCCCAGTCCGCAGCTCTACAGATGTCTGCCAGAGGCACCGTGCGCCAACGGGGACTGGTACGCCAAGGCGATGACATCCACTATCCAGTGGGCCAACCTCTGTTTGGAGACAGCCTTTCCCTTCTACTGGTCTCCAAAGCAGACAAAGAGCTGCTGTGAGCTTCTAAAGGTCTGCCTGCGGTCCACATACACACGCGATGCTCGAACAGGACATAGCAACGCGAGGGCTGGGTCTGCCGCCTCCGGGGGCAGCGCTTGCAAGTTCACCACCTAGTTCCTAAAGGGAGTGGTGGGAACTTTGGACACGTATCCGGGCTGGGGTCTCAGGATGATGTGAGACAGGGCCGGCCCGAATTCAAGGCACGATTCGCTGACCGAAAATGTCTGCAGTTCCCCCACCCTCTTAAGAGAAGCGAGCACAGTCAGGAGCACTGTCTTTAAAGAATGACTCCTGCGGCTTGAAGGGAGCTCTCTGTAGAGGTAGTGAGAGTGGAGGAGGCAGAAGAGCGGCTTCGGGCAGTAAAAGGTGCTTTACATGAGTTCTGAACCTCATCATGCAACTCCGGGAAGAAAGACACTGGCACCCAGGAACCAATCATCCAACCGCGAGCGATTTGGACACAGATGAGGGACCACTTGAGCCCGATGCCCTTGGTGGCCCAAGAAAGCATGGCCTTCAACTCTGAATCTGGAGGGGGGGCAGCTCAGCCTCCTCATCCTCTCCAGAGGACAAAAGCCCACTCCCCAAATCAACATTCGATCCTCATCCGGAGTGCCGAATGAGACACAAGGTGCCTAACAAGTGCCCCTTTTCCACCAAAGCATTTTGAGAGCCGGTTCGGAGCCGGTGCCTACTCGCGAACCAGTTCTTTGAGTTTCGACAGCCAAAGAACCGGTTCTCGACCAGGAAAATTGGTTCCAAAGCGGCACCAATTCTTTGCTGTACTAGAACCGTTCTTTTACCACGTCATGCTTACGTCGGGGGCTGGGGGCGGGTTACTGTGAACAACAACACGACGGGAATGGGAAAGCTAAGACGTATGGCGACATACACAGTGACGTAATGACGTCGTTCGCTGGGCTCTCTAGTCAGTGGAAAAACAAACAGGTTCTGAGAAGGTTCGCAAGTTGAACCAACTTTGAACCAGCACCAGTTCCGAACCAGTTCTTTTTTTGGTGGAAACGGGGTAAAGGTGACCCGCGCTGTGGGGGCTGGCCCGACAGAGAAGCTCCCATTGTATAACTTAGATATCCCAAAGTGCTAACCAGACCCACGGCTCTAATATGAGAAGCGGCGGGGGGCTGTGTAGCAGCAGAGGGGACTTGTGCCTCTGTATTAAAGAAGGAGAGTCACAACCGCAATGCCAACATGGAGATGCTCTCCCAGTGAGAGCATGCACCATCCATATACGCTCTCTCAGAATGCTGTTTGACTAGGCATGAGAGACAGCGATCATGGCCGTCAAATGAAGTCAGGAAACGACTGCATCCAGAAACACACAGACGGAAAGACATCTTGAAAAAGACACTGACCGCCCGTGCTTGCTCTTTTATGGAAACTGCTCTGAATGAAACGCTGCACTCTCTCCGTGCACAGCAACTTGAATGCGAGACACCACTGGATGCGCCTTCACCCCAGCAGAGAGATCCCACGACGAGCTGCAAAGCAGAGCAATTAAAATGGCTGTTTTTGCAGAAGGTCTCCTTGTTAGAAAGAGCAGACATCAATTTTAATTGCTGTTTCAGAAATGTACTCTTTCTCTTGAAAGGTGAATGGAAAATATGAATGAAGTGAGTAATGCCGGTCATATTTATACCCGTATGTCCGGGTGGGTGTGACTCGGCATGCAAATCTCACTGGCCAATGTTCATTGGCTCATTTAGTTACCACTTGGAGGCAATTGGGCTCCTAGGCGACGTAAAATCAAACGTGACTGACTGAATGGGAACCCTTTATAGTTATATTCGCCCAATTTATAATGTAGAAAATAACTAACATTATGAATGTGGAAATTATTTGGAAAATTTGTATTATGGTACATTATTACATTTATTTCTGCGCTATAGCACCACTATTATTTATTCGAATATTTGTATTATTATCTAATTTAATAATTTTTTTATATTTTAATCAAATTATTATTTTATTTATTTACAGTATATCTTATATTTATTTGTTTTATACCGTTTTTCGAACCCCAGGTTGAAAACCCCTGCTTTAAATGATAATCAGAGAATAATAAGTATTTGCTTTCAGTATGCAGAAAATGCTTTTGCATATCAATTTATTAATCTCTTCTTCCACTCTATTCACTTTTAGCTCTGAAAAAGGCCTTTTCTGAACATTCAACTATTCAAAGGCTGGCCAAATCAGATTTCATCATGCTCAATTTAGTGGTACAGTACAAATATTGTGAAATATTCAACAGACACTGGAGTAAGACATGCATTTAATACAGTAAGAATGTTCTTGACCTAGTGATTGTGATTTTCAGCATGAAACCACCGATAAAAACTTGGCCCCTGACGGCTTCTATGTCCCCAGGATCATGTTTGTTGGTGAGTTTTCACACATTTCCTAAACAGTGACTTATTCAGTTTACCTGGTAAGATTACCTGATAATATTGTATAATCTTAACTCTGTCATCAATGGGATTTCGAGAAGCAACAGATATTGTGTCATTAGGTCACTGCACAGTCTCTGGTACAAAGTAACTAATATTATTGTGATAAGGAACATATTGTGCAATTATATTATTTATTATATTATTTTCTAATATTGAAATTTTAAAGTATTTACACATAGTAGTAGTTGTTTCACTGCCTTTTCATTTTCTTTATGTAAAAGGATTTGATTTTGGGGTGTTTAGGTTAAGTTGTCATGAGAATCAATCTTTTCCATCTTCTCTTCTCCTCCACCTAGATCCCTCAATGACTGTGCGAGCTGATATCACTGGAAAGTACGCCAACCGGATGTACACGTACGAGTCAGAAGACATGGACTTCTGTGAGTGTGTTTCTGCTGTCTAATGAGCTCCACTGAGAGGCAGGAGCTCTTCAGAGACTCTCTGAAGCTCCCAACAGCAGAACCGAGCTGTTCATTTGTTTATTCACGCTCATCCATCGTGACACATTCTCTGCTACTTTATGCTACGGAATGTGCTAATGTTGATAGTTAATATTTGATTTACCAGTCATTACTTAAGCATGCATTAATCATTTTCCCCTTCCTATATCTTTCTTTGTGCACAGTGGCAGAGAACATGATGAAAGCCAAGATCCTGCTTAAGAGTGACCACGAGGGACATGTTGATCTGTGATGGATAGATAACAGCTTACCTCTTCCAAGACTTGCACACAGGTTTCTTTGTGCAACTAGCAATATTCAACTTTGAGTTTGTTAGTGTTAACAATGTTTCTGTGTTCATTCACCTTTTACAGCAATAAATAATGTAAATGTATTAAAGAGGAGGAATATAAGAAACAGTCTCTGGGTTCACTTGACCTATTAGCCAACACAAAGTGCTCTACTTGACAAAGATCACCAGGAATAAACAGTTGGTTGAAATACTAATTCCATTAACTAGTAAGCAAGGCAAAGACGTCCTCCATTATATAAGGATAAAGAGACATGACTTGTCTGTGATTTGCAGAATAAGAGTCATCATGTGAGTCACAATGAGGATAAATTCAAGCATCTAGCAGTATGTAATGACACAGAGTATACACTAGATGGCAGAGCACACTAAGTACAGAAGTAAGCCAGTGTCAAAATCATTCATTTTATGCTATAAGCAAATAAGCTTAAGCTCTAAGTAAATTACTAATACAATATCAATGTGTTAATTTAGTCATAAATATTAATTATAATTAATTAAAAGGTGGATTTAACATATGAATATTAAATGACTGCCAAACATGTCGATGTCCAATTTTGCATATAAACATATGTGGTGGGTTATTAGCGATCATCCAAAGATGTCTAAAGCACCACTTTGCTTTTTGAGGTCTTGTGAAATAATCACTTTTTGACAGACAAAATTCAAATAGCAAAACTGATACACAAAAAGTATGTTATAAGTAAGTAAATAAATAAATATGTAGGTAAACAAATAAAAAAAAGCAAAACAATCAGTTAAATAAATAAGAAAGAAAAAGACAAAGGTAAAATACTCATAAAAGCATTATGCATAATGCAACTGAATCATAAACAATGATGCAATTCACTTTAAGTCATGATTTTATAAGATACCACATTTGAAGTGCATTGCCACAATATTCAAATAGAGATATATAAATTGTTTAAAAGAGGGGAAAGAGACCTTCGCAATGCTTTATGGGAGTGGGAGTATGTGCGTTTGTGTGGCATTTGCCTTTTCCAGGTTAAACTAAAGCAACTGATTCTTCTCTCCATGAAACACAACTTAAAAAAAAAAAAACAAGAAAGCTAGAAAGAACAAAAGCAAGAAAGTAAATAAAAATGAAAAATAATGTCACCCATATGATCAACATGATTTCACCAAGTACAACATGTTCCTGGATCAACACTTTTGTTGATCCCGGAACAAGAGAAGGAATTTCAACACTTAACCTCAAAGCTCGGTCTGTAACTAAAAAAGTATCACTACAATGGGGAAAATAAAAATAAATGACTTTTTTTTTCCTTATTGATTAATTATTACAAATAACCCTAACAAATGATTGTTGTAGTTAGCTAGCACAGCTTAAAACAATTCTTTAAAATAACTTTCCAGGATTTATCGTGTTGCAATAACTCAAATATTCAAGTTGTCAGTTAATACAACTTCACTCTTCAAGTTGACTGAACTTAAAATTTTAAGGCTACACAATCACTTTGAAAAAGTGTTTTTACAGTGTCAACAGCACAAACAAACTGTAGTTGGGCACTTTACATGGGTCACGGTGTCCAAACAGGTGGTTCAAAAGTCTGGCAATGAGACATAGGGTTAGGATATACGTATGTAAATGTAACTATTTATTAGCACCTTAAACCGTATATCATGGTGTTAGCAATGCCAGGATCATGGGTTTGATTATCAGTGAATGCATGAATTAATAAAATGCAAGTCGTGTTAGATAAGTGTGGTAATTTTGCGCAAGAGGTGGGCCTGAAGTCTGAAAAAATATCAACAGGATTTGAAAAAGCAGCTTTATGACTATGAGCCAGGAGTTGCTGAGTGTGCTGAATGAAGGGGAGGTGACACTACACTGTGACAGACTTTAATCCTCCTCCGGCCCAGGGTCACAGAGAGTAATGGAGCGGAGCAGCAGGGACGTGCACAGGAATTTTGTGGGGCAGTTGCTCTGACCTGAAAAAAGGGCACTACCCCCAAAACTCACGGGCTATATGAAGGAATATATTCAGTTGAATTTTGCCCATACAAATTGCCTTATCTGATCGTGTTTATGTCCAAACGACGCAATGCCTCATATTATGGTCTTATTATTATTTATTAAGATTGCAAACGTCAAAGATGACAGGTTTATGATATACAACTTTGTAAACAGTATACAAAATGTATTAACAATATGTTAAATGTCACCAAAATACACATGAGAAAAAGAGTTCCTCATATTATTGTTTATTGTTTTTTAATTATTATTATTATTATTATTTTTTAAATAAATAATCTGGATTGAATTGACAGATGGGGAAAAACTCGCTTCTAATAAAAAAAAAAAAAAAAACGCTTAGATTTCGGAAAAAATACAATCCTTTTTAACCTTTTGGCTTCCCGTACATTAAATTGTGCTTTTTGCTAATCTGGGCAACTACGCATGATTTGTAATATGATTGCGTAAAGGGAACAGGAATACCGGTAGGGAACAGAATCGACTGCTAAACCCAGTGCCGATCCTGACCTCCTCCTCGGGCCCTAAGCCTAATTCTGCTAAAGGGCCCTCTACCTGACCTGTGATGTCGTGAGCTATGTAAACCATTTGCCATTGCCACAGTCACAACTGACACTTCAGTGCTCTCAATACAATCCTCCCTCCTTTAAACAAAACAGTCAAAGAATAAGTACAAGAATATAGAACAGAATGAGGTTCAAACAAACAATATTTGTTGAATAGAGTATTTTCTATAGAATGTTAAGATAATAAGTGAATATTATTAAGTAAGTGAATATTAACGTAAAATAAGAAGAAAATAATAAATTATAACCCTGAGCTTTGGCTTTTGGGATTAACTTTGGTTCTTTCTACAGCCTGGGCATTTTCGGCATCAGTATGATTTTTTAATTTTCAGTTGAAGCAATTCTTGATTTATGGTTATTATTTACTGAGGGATGTGCATCCATATTGACCAGTATGTCCAGCTAATCAACATTTTAAATTCAATATAGCCTATAAATCAATAGTCAATCAATGTCAAATTGTCAATACATTGCTTTCTATCTTGCATAATTAGTGCAGTTGTTTAGAGTTTTTAACTACACTGAGACTAGATAATCAGTGTCTTGTTTTATAATGTGTACTTTGATTGGGAGTGCCATCATTCACGTGCATGTATTGTACAGTATGTCTGGTCTCCACATATTTCTGCTTGAAAAATGCGAGTTTCATTTCGTGCAAGCGCATATTAACGCATGATAACACACGCGACGCGGTTATGTTTTCCGAGCTGCAGTAAACAAACACCGTTGCACTTTGTCGTTTATCAAAAACAAACGTAATAAATAATTGTATTTTACTCTCACTTTTGTCAGGCACAAAGTGATGCAAGAGATGCACTGCCTGCCCTGCCCAGCTAGGTTAGCAAGACCGAAAAACATCAAACTTTGCTGACATCAAACTTAGAGAGGAGAGAACACAAGTTTACCTGATTGTTGTTCCCGCAATTCACTCTCATGTTTTTTTTCTTCTTCCTCTTTTCGTGACCAGAAGGATAGTTTCGCTTCATTTTGTCGTGGATGTTGTAGCTACACATTTGACGGCGCGCTATGACTATGACACGAGATGGAGGCGTGGCCTTAAGTAATTTGCGTGGCCCTACGCCGGTCGCGTGCAGCGTTTGCCCTTCATACTGACTTTCACTTTCGGTGCCCGAATGGAAGTGAATGAGGCTTTGCGATTTTTTTTTTAAATCTAGGCCTACATGAAATTCTGCATCCATTGTACGATTTAATTTTTTTCTCGGAAGGGCAACTTGAGTGAGAAGGGCATATGGGCAGTTGCCCGGGCAACCTGAGCAACCCCCCTGTGCACGTCCCTGCGGAGCAGTATGGTCATTCCTCCACCGACAGAGTGAATTAATGCTGTACGCCTGGTTACGGCTCTGACTGACAGCCGCACGCTGGTCACAGAGACGCGGGAACAGTCTTATTAACGCCACAGATGAGCACACCCTCTCACCTCACCAATAAGACTGCCAGCTCTAGAGCCGCTGTCGATACTCTCTCAACACACACACACACACAGTAAGCCCTTGACAAAGGACAGCAAGGATGGTCACAGTCAAATCAAAGAAAATTGCACAAATAATGAATGTGTTCAGTGCTTACTTTTTGAAGCAACTCCCTCTTGTCCAGCATAAAAAGCATAAAAATATTGTAGAGCGGAGCAATCTAATCAAGAAAAAATCATAATTTTATTTCCTTTGTTGACATATTTCCCATTGAAACAAGAAGTTCGGTTTTCACAAGTTTGGGGTCAGTAAGATTTTTGTTTTTTGAAGGAAATACAAGGTACTTTTGTTTGAGTAGGGACAAATTTAATTTATCAAAAAGTGACAGTAAAGACATTTATAATGTGACATGACAATGAACTTTCTATTCGTCAAATAATTCTTTCTATTCATCAAAAAATTATTCTAAAAAAAGAATCAGAGTTTCCACAAAAATCTTAAGCAAGCACGACTGTTTTCAACATTGGTAATAATAATAAATGTTTCTTGAGCAGCAAATCAGTATATTAGAATGATTTCTGAAAGATCATGTGACACTGAAGACTGGAGTAATGATGCTGAAAATTCAGCTTTACCATTACAGGAATAAATTACATTTTAAAATATATTCAAATAGTTATTTTAAATTGCAATCGTATTTTACAATACTACTGTTTCTCAATGCATTAAGAAAAGAAGAAAATACAGTGTGCCTTAAAACCCCAAACTTTTCATGGTAGTATATTCCAATAAAATGTCAGACAAAAAAAAGTTCAGCAAGTCTGCCTGTATTACTGCACATCTTCATAAAAATATGATTTGTGCTTTTGATATGTTCCCCTCTTCTCGGGCACTGATAAAACGCACAGGCTCTTGTGACCTGCATGCATCAAAACAGAAAAACCACTCTTTCAAACACAGTTCTAAGAGGAAGCAGTCTCAAACAACACCATATCCCAACAGTTCAAGATGGATCCCATATGTCATGTTTTATGGCAGCTGCTCTCAAGCCAGAAACACTGTTGTATACTGTAGAAAGTGTATTCTTCCTGGAGGCCATCACACCATCGATTATCTGCAGCTAACGATTCATTTCACGGTGAGAGACTAGTGTTTGCACTGAGAAGAATCAATACCATTTGGTTGCCTATATTAAGTTATTCCATTGGGTGAATGTAGCAATGTTCGTCAATTCTGGAGGATGTTTCTGAGAGCTCTACTGTTACTCAAGGACAGATGTGACACGGTCATACATAAAATGTGAACGACTCTGAAGTGCAATTTAACATTTCAGAGGCTGAGGGTTGAGACCTCTACAGTTATTTAAGGTTGACTGACAATAATTCAGGCTATATAGTGAAAATAAAATAGAATGTAAATAAATAAATGAGGCTAATGATAATTATTTTACAGTCCTGCACTTACTATAACATAAAGAGCATCATACAGAATAGCTTATAGTTTACAAACGCAGTTGTCGTGT